CAAAGTGTAGAAGGATCATGTCTATCACAGCAATCAATGAGATATATATATAAAAGTTGTACACACAAAGTTGTATCACATCAGATAGGTTGCAAAGGACCACTCAAGAAGCAAGCACATGGATAAGTGTATTGCACTAACATGATAAACATAGCCATATGTCACAGGGTTCTTTGTGGTTAATAATTGACAAGATACAATGTCCTTCGTTTTTCATAAAAACTTGTATTTACAAAAAAAAAAATCAAAGAGTTCATATGCTTATACAAAAAAAAAGGAAAACTTAGTTAAAGAAATGAAAGCAAGGAAAACGCATCAGTCACCATGTCTTTGAGTCCCTGTGCAGCAGTGTGTCTTGCGCTGTCGTTGTCGGCCCACGGTTGTGGCTGAAGTCAGGAGCGGGAGCGGTTGGCTTCAGCCAAAAGTGTGTTTTTGCGCCTTGTAACATGAATACTCAGTACCGTGCATTAATCGTCTATCCGGTTTTGCATGGTTTTCTCGCCGTCTCGCGTTTCGCGCTCTCGTCTCGTCGCGCGGCGGGAGTTACTTTGTGAGCTGAAGCACTCTCTCCTGAAAGCAACGGCCGAGGGAAAACTATATTTGGTCCCTGCCTTTCAGTCACCGTGGTCGCGCGACGTTGGGTGTTGCCATCCACACGAAGCTGCAGATATAGCGCTTTCTAAAATAAAACTAAGTACCGCTGCATGTTAATCAATATTCCTGTTCTCGTTTAAATCATACGTTACTACAAAAATCCCTCTTTAACTCAAAGACTGTTGTGTCGAAGAATTGATTACCTAGGTTGCTCTGCGTGTGCTTTCTTTCGAGGGGGACCCTGGTGGTATTGCCCTGGTACGTGGACAATCTGCAGCGAAAGAAGGTTGATGAAAAGAAGTTAGCTAAAGCAAAGAAGGTAATGTTTGTTTCGCTGAACTCGCACAGCGTGCTTGCTTGTCTCGAGTTCAGTCGTTGCACAAAGCGCTCCAAGAACTTTTTGACCCTGGCTCGCGATGTCTTGCATCGATAGCTCAGGTACTTTTTCCCCCTTTTCTTTTTGCATGTTTAGCTTGCACCTTGTTTGCCGGCCTGGCAAGCACACGCCACTGGACTGTTTGTTGTCGTATGCTCGACAGTTACATCTTGCATACAATTTTGGGGATCAGTTGTCGACGGAGCGGAGTGACATGGTTTCGGTTTCGATCAAACAGCCGTTGTCTCAGCTCGCGCGACGAAGTACGCGCGACTGCAAGCCTGCCGAAGTTGGCCTCACGTGCTTGCGAACATGATTGCACGACAGAAGCACCAGCCGGGACGCTTGCAATCCATTGTTTTACGTTTGCTTACTTTTGACGAAAACCTGGCATGTCGGGAACCAGTCAAACGGCGGTTTTTCGAAATTGCTCGGCAATGCCTACAACACTGTACACTTGTGGGATGTCTCAGCAGTAAAATCCAAGGAGAAGTACTAGGAGTGGGCACGTTGCAATATTGGTGAAGCCTAGTCATAAAAAGTTTAAACGAGTTTGTGCCCAGCGTGACCGCAAATCTCTCTGGCGATTGGTGCGCGTGACATGTCACGTGTGAGATGGATGGTTGATTGTAGGAGGGCTCCTTGCAGGCTTGCGCGCGCTCCGTCCGGTAGGTTTTATCAGATCGAAGGCTAGACTGTGGTGTATTCTAGCAGCCTACAGTAAGACGAAGGCTAGCTACGGTCACGTGATGTAGTCACGTTGGCATGGTAAGTGAGGAGAGTAAGGAGGAAAATGAGAAAGAGGCAAGGCGTCAAGGGAGCATAACTTGTGGAGACTACGCGGCCGACGTCATGCCCTCTCCTACCCTTCTATTCTCCATGGTAAAAACACAAGCAGCAAGTTCTGTCATTCTGTCACAACACGCCACATCAGAGCACAACGCATCACAAAGTGCCCTTCGTATGTACAGCACTAAAAACGAATATTTTTATTTTTCTAAGAATATCTGCTCCAAAAGCCACTTTAGCTGCTCCAAAACACTGTATTCGTTGCTCCAAAGGCATCATTTGCTGCTCCAAAACACTGTTTTGGCTGCTCCGAAAGGTGCTCCAAAATGGCTTAGGCCAATCACATCACTGAATGTCTCCGACATAAAGTTGGCTTTCCAAAATTGGTAGATTCAGAACATCATTAATTTATAATTTGTTGATTCTAATTCAATATACAACCAAGCCATTCCACTCTGTGAAGGTGGATGACCAGCGAAACTGTTTAGCTCACGACACAGTTCCGCCCCGTGGAGCCGGAGGAAACTAGACACGCGTGATGGGACCCCGTGAGAGCGGAAGGAAAGGAAACTAGGCACGCAAGCGCTTGGAACGACGACAAAGAGGGAGCGGTGCGGGCGAAGACATGGCCGACGCGGGTCGCACAGGGGCATATCTTTGAAAAACCTTTATCTACCTGAGAAGAAGAAAATGGATGGTGCTATGATATGATATGAAGATAGATGATGCTATGATATGATATGAAGAATAAATGGTACTGAGAGTTTACTGGTCTTGAAAAAGGTGCCTACTGATAACTAATCTATTGAAGAGACCTACTGCTAATTTACCCAAGCATCAAGGGGAATGGTGTTACTGTTCTAAAGCAAGAGCCTAAAACAAATGGCATCTTGCACGTGCGTTCGCCAACGCTTTATTTGGGTTATTTCGAATCTTTTATACGGGGAAGGCGTGCGCGTGCAGCTCGTGCGGCGGTGCGAGCGTAGTTTTTAGTCACTGCACACGAAAAATCCATGGAACCCTACCCGTAAACAGCTTCAACGTAAAAACTCTCGTTTTAAAAATTGGAAGCAATCAGAAAAGTAACGATTTCCCTCCCAAGTCACGGCCAATTACTCTTCTCAAGTAATCAAACTGAATACATTTTAGCCAAGAGTAACTGTAATTGTAATAGAATTAACGTGTACAAGACTGCTCCCACGTGACAAGCTACCCCCTCTTCTTCCTTTGACCCCACAGAGAAGCCAAGCCATCTTCATGTCTTCATGGCGTGACTTCGTGGCACTATACCCCCGCAATTCCGCAATGTTGCTTCACATGCGCGTAAACCCAAAGTTCTCACACCACTGCAAGCAAATTGTTGTGTGAAGTAGTCTGCCTCAATGGGCGTCTGGTGTCTCAGCTGTAGATGAGCAATTTAGCCAGTGCGGTACAACCGCTAACCTGGAGTCTTTAACGTGCACCACGCAGTAGTGATACACGACCGCATGCCGGTGCGATGCTCATCCAGATCGAAACGGGCAGGGGCGGGGATTGAGCCCAGGATCCCTGGGTTCTGCAGCGCGAGCTTTCGCTCCACGTGCTCGGAGCTGGTGTGCGCTAGACCACTCGGCCACCGTACATCACTGTACGAAAGCATTGAATTTGATGGCGAGCTTACAGCATGCGAAGGCCTGGAGATCGCTGTTGGCAGTACCCAGCGTACGAAGACCTAGGGATGGGCGAATATTCGAATAATACGCTATTCAATATTCATTTAAATTATTATTATTTTTTTTTATAGCAGCAGGTTAGTTTTGTTGAGCGCGTTTCTTACCGAGCACGGGTGCACTGCGGAGAAGCAACACCCACAAAAACGAGCTTTTCGGATGTTGCTACTCTGCAGTGCACCGGTGTTCGACTAAAGGCGCACTCGATGGGGTAAGCCGCCAAGATAATCACTTTGAAAAAAAAGAAAAAAATTTTTTTTGCTCACACGCTTGGTGCACATAACATGAAACAAAAACTTCGTAAATGTTGATATCTACACTGCAGTGAACTTTTCAAAATTAAACTGGCTGTGATACAATAGTAGACATTGGGAAGAGATGCCCCAACAACCTGTGTTCATTACTCAAATTTTTTTTTCTTCAAATTAGAAATTGGAGATTAGAGTACAGCAAGATTTATAATATAAATCCTCTCAATTAGGTACAGCCACAACTGATCTCCACTAGGGGATGGCATGGCGCATTGAGCACACAGGCATGCAGCCACCAGAAGTAAGCGGTATGTCCCGGAAGCGAGCGCTTGACAGGCTTCCCATCTCTTCATAGTATTTGTTAGAACAGCATGCAAGGTGCTGAATTTTCTCGTCATCTAAAGAGAGCCTGCACGTACGCAGTAACAGCACATGCAGACCCCAAAAATTCTCCTGGGAGGCCATTCCATGCGAAAATTTTGAGATTCTAGTTGATCAAGTGTGTGCATGTTTCACAATCTAATGCCTTAGTACCACGATTTCATTAAAAATGGGATAATTAAAACCCACAGGACACAAAGCATCAATAAAAAAATCTACAGAATGCACTAGGAAGTCCAGCAGACGACTTCCGGGACTAGCATCAAACTTCCGGTGGCTTCACATGCGCCAGGCTCAGTGAGCAGCTATGCACCAACCAGCTCCTAGAAGTGCTTTGCACATGGCTACCAAGACGTCTACAAACTTGATTCTCCCAACTTTATCCAAACAAATAATCAAACCAAATTTCTTCCCTAGAGCAGGTAGTCATTAAAAGCTTTTTACTTCTTCCCTAGAGCAGGTCATTAAATGCTTTTTACTTCTTCCCTAGAGCAGGTACACTAAAAGTTTTAGATCCTCATTCAATGTACAAATTCAATGCAACCCTGCATCTGCAGTACAACACATGTCACCAGTCCACCAATTATTAACATGTCCAATGTGCTCATTGCAAATGATAGTCATATATAACTCAAAAATACTGCACAGAACTCTGAAATTTATAACTCTTCAGTCGTGCAACATTAGCTGCCCAGAAGCCAAACACTTAAAAGTGAATTCCCACTGCCGTTCGAATCGCAATTACAAAGCGGATCCACTCATTTTCATCATCAAATGAATGTGAAATTGTACCGCACACAACCGTGCTCACAACCGCTTTGTAACGCGATTAAAACGCCAGCGTGAACGCGGTGTTACTGAGGGCAGGGAAATCCATCCAGTAAAGACAAAGCAAGGCTTGTGAGGACGCAATTTTTATTTCTCCTTCGGAAACTACATACATTTCTTAATTTCTCCTATATATATATATAATATGTATAATGTATATATAACAAGTCTCTCATTCCAGTGGTGAAGGGAAAAGGGAAGGGCAGTTTTTGCTTTCTGCTAGACGACACAAAGTAAACAACCAAACTCTGAAAGAGGGGGCCTCTGCCTGTTTCCCCCCAACTCTGCTAGCCGAGGGGAGAAAGCAGAGGGCCCCAAGTGTGCCCAACAAAACGCGCCCTCAAGCACATGGGAATGATGCTACAATTTTTTTGCTAGCGTTCCAAAAAAAAAACAGGAGCAGAAAAATGCTCTACCTTGGGAGGGCCCAAGCCACAAAGTAGGACTGCTCAACACAAAAGAGCTAACACTCGCTGCATTGTGCGACGGCTCTTTTCAACAGCCCGCCGTTTCCCGCGCAAACTTTAAAGAAAAAAAAGAAGAGGCTACACCATGATCTAAAGCTTCAATTAGGCCAAAATTATGACAGCAAGGCTAAATTTAAAAATTTGCGGACAGCTGCGCGAGAGCCTTGCCCTCCACGCTTTTTACGGTCACCAATCTCCCTTCTTAAGTAACATTTCTAGTATTACTTTTAATGAGTTAATTTCAAACAAACAAAAACAACAAAAAAAGAACTGCCGCTTTTTGGGCCCCTTCCCCTTCGCATCCCCACTTCTGCAGTCCCCACTCGAGAAAAAAAAAAATGGCAAAAGCCCATCACACAACTGTACAACCGCCTCGTTGGAAAGAACGGGCGACACAGACAACGCGACAGAAAGAGACTCGAGAGAGTGAGAAAAAAACAATAAACAGGAGTCCTTTCTATTTTCATCAAAGCACTGTTTCCTGGCGGAGAGTGGCAGAACACGTGACCGAACACACACACACACATACGCGCCCTGAACCAGCAGGTTGGGATGCACAGCCCAAGCAGCAGCAAGGAGGAAAGGGAGGAGAGGGCGTACAGAACATGGAGTGTTGTCGCTGGGGTTGTGGGGGCGGGGGAAGGGTTCTCTTCTTTCTGTTCCGACGGTGGTGGCAGGGGAGAGAGTGAGGCGGGGCTGCACTACATGCTGTAGCCTTGATATCCCGGCATCGGTGGGGCATAGCCTGGCGCCGGTACGTAGCCGGGCGCCGCCATCATGCCCGGGGGTGCTGTCAGCATCAGCTGGGGCTCAGGGGCTGTGCAGGGAAGAAAAGGTTGTCCTTATTCGTACAACATCAACCGTGCAGAAGCGAATTCACAAATAGATTTAGAAAGAGGAACTTGTTTGCTAAACACCAACTAGATAGAGGCAAGCTGTGCCGGCCAATTGCAAGTTTGTTCTATGGCTTGTCCGCAACCTATCAGACTTCACGAGGCAAGTGTCAGTCACGTCAAGGTTGGGCCGTTTGAAGAGTGCCGCCCTTCACTTAAGACTGAAGAGCTGTCCCCGTCTCCAGATCTTTGAAAGGCCATGGATATATGAAAAATGAGGAAGGAGCCTATAGACATAACAATGCTGCTTATGCAAGTAGGGGTGGAAGCAAGCTTCAGCCTTCCTGTAGCAGGTATGGGAGCAGCAAAGATGCCCCTTTGAAGCAGCTTTGGAACAGTAAGAACCATAAAACATAAGTAGAGTTTTGTCACAATATAAGCAAATCTTGGAGCTGGTCGTCCAGGTCAAACTTGGTACTGTAAGTGCGGAGGTGCTTTTCTAAATACAAAAATATCACAACAAAAGAGCATCTCCATGTAACATTCCAGAACCATATTAAAACATACAACTTCCTTACATAAAACCCAGCCCATAACATAAAAAAAGCAAACAACGTAACTGAAATTTATCTGAATGGCAGCTATTGAGAATTGTCATGTTAAGACCCGTTCACTCTTGCAACTGAGCACAACCGAGAGAGGCTAGACTTGTTGAAACCTCTTAAAATTTCTTAGGACGAGAGGACACACTGGCACCATCTATGCGGTAACCCTGGAACTGCATTTCACTAGAGCGAAGGTTTTGTGGGATTTTAGAGGTCAAATGTGCGTAATACCTATAAAATTGACAGAAATTTTTTAAACCAAGAAAGAAAGGATAATGCGCGAGAAATAGAAAATATGCCGGATTTCACAACGGTTTAGAACTTCCGTCGCTCAGCAGAAAATTCCCACTGTTCTGCTTGTCCTCCCGCCGGTTAACTGTTTCTGTGACAGCATATGTATTCACCCCGTGAAGGTTTGTTTACAGAAAGTTTACAGGTGAGGCAACCAATTATTGCTTTTATTGTTTCGTTTGCGGCACGCATGAGAAGCATTGGAAGCACTCTCAGCAAAAGCAAACACCCTAAACATGCAAACAAAAGAATGCCAAATGTTTAATTTTGTAAAGTACTTATCGCTTTTCCCCAGAGATTAGATCAGGGGTGGCCAAGCTGCAGCTCACGAGCCGCATGCGGCTCTTCGCGTGTTAAAATGTGGCTCGCGGCTCCCTTTCTTAACCCTGCCCCAACTGTCCCGCCTCCCTCCCGGTCACACGAGCACTTCCCCAAAAAGAGAAATGGAACGAGTTTTACATCAAAAGACAGGTCAGATGGGTAGTCTCGTACTACTGCTACCTTACATACAGTTGGACTGCTTTTGACTCTGACAGATGGCAAGTATAGTTCCGCGTTTCGTTTATTGCTCTGGACAAAAGTTTGCCTGCCCGCCCCCGCCCGCCCGCCCGCGTGGTTCTCTCTCGTGCTGCTGGCACTTCACAGCTGATCAACATGAGACCATGAAACGAAACAGAACAAAACACTGTCTATTTACTTGGTCCGGAAAAAATTATTCTTAGATGAAAATGGGCACCCCGCACCTGTTTTCATCAAACGAAAGTCAACTGCTTTGATAACCTTGGAAAAAAACTTTTTTGGTTAGTTTTATGCACAACACTAGCGTTTGGAAGCAGGATGTCGCAGCAAAAGTGGATTGGCACACAATGGCGTGATTGGCGCAGCACTTCCACCCCTGTGCAAGTAAAAAAAAAACATTCCTTGGATTTTAAGATAAATTTTTTTTTAAATTAAGCTCAGCTCCAGCATCATCGTCACTGTTTTCCAAAAAAACCCGAAAGGGTCCTTGAGAAAAAAGCATCAGTAAACTATGACCTTGCATCAGTAAAGTATGACCTCTTTATCCAAAATAATGCCCTGTCATTTGATCGCACTCCCGAAGTTTAATTTGGGTGCAATGAGAAGAACTGGCAGCCCTGCAGTAAAAGCAAGGGTGGGAACGCTCACCGTAGACGAGGGGCTTCTGTTCGTTCTGTGCAGACTCTTCCAGCCTCTGGTTCTCCATCTCCTCAAGCTTGTCAACCTGGACAAAATGAAGCACAGGGTGGAGCAGCAAAGCACGACAGGCAGCTACTTAAACAGCCAAACAAATTAACAAAAGCAAGAACTTAATAGAGAAAGTTTACCTTTAAGCAGGTGTACAAAATAAAACATTTGTGGCCAAAAAAAAACAAAAAAAAACGTAGTCACATTGCAATATAACACGAGACCCAAACGAAAATATATTCCCGACATCAAACTTCTTAACTGCGAGCACAAACTAGAAACTTTAGTCAAATGAATGAATTAAAAATTCAGTTGAACCTAAAAAGGCAAAGTGAGGAACGCTGAAATCATACATTGAGTCTATGACAGACCAAACAAATAAGGAATATAACCTCAAGAAAAATAAAAGGGACTGAACTTCACACTTGCAGATCCGACAGTTTAATGGTTGCTGGTTCAATGGTTACACGCTGCATTACAATAGAATCAAATGTACCACATACCAAGAAGTGCCTTCTGTTGAGACTAGAGCAAGTTGATCTGCACTCAACTTCCGACTTACACTCCAAGTTAATTTACAATTGCCCAATGCATTATCATAACCTGAGAAGTCCTTCCCCTCGCCTAAAAGAAAAGGAACAATTTGCAACAAATATAGCTAACATGGGCTCAAGGTGTTCTCTGTATCAGCTAACTCTACAGCAAAAGCAACAATGTGACGTTCTTTGAGCAGACTTCCGAGCCCACTGCCAAAACACGCCACCCAACTTTCGGCCGAAGGCTCAAGGGTGCATCTTGTGGGTGGGTCGCACAGTCATGCAACGGCACTAGTCTGATGCGGGGGAAGGCTGCGAGAGCAACGGCACCCACCTTGGAGACATACTCCCTCATGACCTGCACAAAGTAGGGCATGGCGAAGTCCATGATGCCGTGGCGCCAGGCCAGCTCCAGGATGACGTCTGGGTGCAGCAGGTCGTAGCACTGGAACAGGCAGGCCCCAAAGCAGGCATAGTTCTTGTCGTCCAGGAACCACGAGAGCAGCTCCTCCGCCGTCTCCGCCTGTTTGGACTCTGCCGCATACTCCATGGCGTCCTGCACATGTCATGGCACCCCACTCAAGAAGAATGCCTCGCTGCGAACCCCAATTCCTAAGCAGGAAATGAGGATCAAAGGGGTGAAAACTGGTCCATTTACCTTTTCACAAAAATAAAATTCAAACAAAAGACTGCTCTCTCTCAAGGTCGTTTGCAAAAAGCATTGTAACAAATTGCAACAACTCTCAAGCCATTTTTGTACTTATTTATAAATACCGCCAACCTACTTTTTGGTGGTGGTGATGGTGGTTAGTGGCAAGGAGGGGCAGTAAATTTTAATGCGCAAGAAGTTAGAAGTATAATGAACTGTAGTACAAATGCAAAAGTAAAATAAAAATGCTACAAAAAACAGTCAACTTTCCACAATCAGTCTTCCAATATTCTACGAGAAAAATTCAACTGAATCTGAATCAATGTGTACTTTGGGCAGACTGCTCCACTCTTCTAATGTTTGTGGGAAAAAAACTAACCCTTAAACTCCCAAGTTATTTCCAGCAAAGCACGGCAAATATGACAATATTTCTAGAAGCTGAAAATGTTGGGCTTTTTTCTATTTCTTATTAACTACACTGGTTTGTCTCCAGGAAGTAAAAGTGGAGAAAACGCTGGTCGTGACAAACAAGGCTAGTCATCGGCACTGTTACAAACGCTTAGGACGAGTCCAGGTTGGCTCTGGGACTTAAAAGGGGACACAAGTCTAAATTTCAAATTTCTTTGCAAAATTTTATTTTTCGAATTCGAGTTTCTCGGGTTTAGAAACTACTAACACCCTTATACTAAATTTGATAACCATACGCCAAATAGTTGTGTTTATATAAAATATTTTTAACACATTGTGAGGCAGTAACAAAGTAAAGGAGTTCAATGTTCGAATGCATTTTTCTCAGTTCCACTTTTTGCTGGAAATTTCATTTGAAGGAATCATTTGTTCAAAGGCAAAAGTATTCTGATACCACAATCAAAATGTTTCTGAACTGAAATTTACTGGGGAATCGGGTTATCTACTTTATTTTGTTCTAAAAATACTTTATCTTGTTCTAAGTTGAGGTCCTCACTGAGAAAAAGATATGTTTTCAAAAATTGAGATGGGACAAATATGCATCTCATATGTTGAGGTAATGACCCTTCCCGAAATATTTACATTTGAGTTATAAAACCTAGATAGCCCGAAGTCTCATATACAGTCGCCGACCGATTTTGCGGACTTCGTGAGAAGCAAAAAAACGTCCGAAAGGCTTGCAGTTTCCCACCTTGAAGAGGCGGTCCTTCTTGCAGAGCTCTACGGACTGCTTCCAGCGGTTGTTGCCCTTGTAGAGGTAGGCAGCCAGGCGTCTGAACTCCACCAGGTCATGCTTCTCCAGCCGCTGGGCCAGGGCAATGTTGTCGAAGTTGTCGAAAGCGTCTATGGACGTGCGCAGCCCCTGGAAGTCCTCCTCGTCTATCAGCAGGCCGTTCAGGGCTTCGTTGATGGCCTAAAGAGAGGGACCAGGTCATGCACCCACGCTTTTCCAAGCTGGACACTTCGTTTCACCTTACTGTGAACCGCAGAGAAGAGTACAAACCACCCAAGCCAATCAAATTCAGCGACAGTGTCGCATGATCTTCGGGGACGGGCGCAGCGATGTGCGGAGTACGTAGCAACGCGGTAGATTCATGGCATTGGATTGGCTCAAATGGCTCGTAGTGTCCATACAGTACATTGTAAAATGAAATGAAGTATAGTATGCAATTTTAGGGAATGTTACATACACGCAGCTTTCTTTCTTTAAAACTGACCAGTATGCACATTGACAAAAAAGAGGATTAGACAGCAACTTGTGGCACAATCTCCCTATGAAGACCATAACAGGAGCTTCTGCATTTGAGCACAAAGCTCCTATTTTCAAAATTATACAAAGCTAAATTGTCCACAAGACAGCTTCAACGAAAATTTCAGATTAGTGTGTTCAGATAGACATTTGTGGCGCACTTTAAAGTGTGCCGAAATAATTGAGCCGTTAACTGCAACGGCTGTTTTAATATTCTTAAAAGGATTTTATAAAGATTCAATCCGGGGACCGAAATGTCAACATTGTCGAAGTTGAATTCGATTTGACCCGACCTTGACCAAAAAAAAAAAGTGTCTAGGGTGCAAGGACTGGGATAAAACTGCTTGCTCAAAAGCAAAGGCAGAGGAGAGACAACTCTCAAGAACACTCAACCCACTGGCAAAAAGCAAAATGACAACTCAACCAATTGCGTTTAAAGAACAGTTACTATAAAAGTGAATTTTGACAATGTCAATGTATCTACAGTCTGAAGAAATGCACCCCTGCCTTCCGCTAGGTTTCGGCCACGCATGTGCTGTGTCATCAAAGGCAGGAAGGTCGCACTCAAGGCATAACATTTACCGAATTTAATGTGTTGCAGGCTATAGACCCTTCCTAAAATTCAGTCTGGTGAACTCAATAACTATTATCGCCCAAGTGTATGTCATCCGTACATGTTAATGGCTGCTTTTTGACAGCTGATGATGAAAGAATGTAAAGACTGTTCCAGTTTTCACAATGTGGAGCCTGAACATTTGAGAAAGTCAGCTGTTGTCCGAGGGCGGCGTGACAACTTGTAAGCTTCTGTAAGCTATGCATTTAAGGGTGTCAGGGGAATCCTCAAAATGATCGGCTTTGGCACACCCCAGAAAGCTAACGACAATAAAATTTGTTGAATATTTAAGAGATTTACTCAAGTAAGCCCCTTGTACAGGGCAATATTTCTTGGCACCACTGAAACTGAAACGAATAAAGAAAGAACAGTACAGCAAAGAACGGCTGAACTTTCACAAGTTTGCCATGGACAAGCAGATACTAGACCTCAACTGCCCTTAGTATATGAAAATGTCTACTGAATGGCACAGATTTTCTAAAAGGTCTATACAGTGAAACCCGTTTAGAACAAACCCACGTACAGCGAATTATTGTCGATATCGAACTCACTGAAAATTTAAATAAAAATGCATGTAAAAAGTTTTTTCTAACGAACAACATATTGGCTATATCAAACTTTTTCCCCTCGAGGAGGCTTCCAAAAACGCGCAAACAATCCTGTTCTAGCCTGTCCCTTCCCCCAAAAAAGAAGACCTTTCAAACATTGGTTGGAGCTACATTTTTGGACTCTAAATGATTTTTGCTATATCGAACTACTTGAGATATCGAACTGATCGCAGCGTTCTTTGCTGTTTGTTATAAACGGGTTTGACTGTAGTCTGCATTAGCAAGAGGCATTCCATCATTGCCATCCCCAAAGATGAGAGTGGCTGGTGGGTCACCTTGTTGTTCAGGCTCTGGACGGAGCGCAGGTAGGGCTTGACCAAGGGCAGGTGGTTGACGCGGGCAAAGAAGCCGACCGACCGCGTGTGGTCCATGCGGGGAGCCAGCACCAACAGCAGGTCGTTTAGCAGCATCGGCTTGTGGTCTAGGTAGAACTGGACTGCCCGGTAGTACAGCTCAATGTTTGCAACCTGCAGGAGCACAGACGGTGACCTTTTGGAACCTTTCACTATGTTCCCAAACAGAACACCGCGTCGGGCAAATGAAGTCAACGGAATGGCTGTGGCAGATCGGGCAAGTTAGCGGCTCTGCTACCAAAAGGCCAAATTAATGAATGGACACTGCTCCGCTAGTCAACCTGATGGCTATGAAAATAGTTGAAACACAAGCAGACATGCTCTGCAACTGTATGCCTCCAAGAAACAAGTATATGCCAAGGTCCCACATTTTGACCTTGGAGCAAAGGGAATGGATGGGACACTGTCCACATTAAACAAGCTCAACTGCACCCTGGGACACTACCCAGAAAAAACTAATTCTGCACGAAAAAGTTGATTTTGAAAAAATGCCACCTTTACATCCACCAACATCTAGAGAGTATTCCCAGAAAGTTTCATTAGTTTACGCTGAATAGTTAATTTTTTATAAATTATTTTCGCTCCATTCATGCTAAAGAAAAGGTAGGGGATGGAACACTTTGAATGCATTTTTCTTCGTCCCACTTTTCAGCATAAATTTTACTTAGGAGGATTTCTGGGATGGCATTTTGTAAGGAACATGCCTGGCTGGTTAGTTTTTCGACTTTAACATTCTTTCATGGAAAAAAACTACATTAGCAAAAAAAGAGCAGACATGAAAAAAATATGTTTATTTTCTTATGGAGTTATACTTACGAAGAACAATGTAATATAGCAAAAATAACTAGCTGGGTATGTGTTATGGGTATTCCTATGAATATATTACACATACAAATCACAAATTTTTATTTTTATTTTAAAATTAGTTTTTCTAAGTGAACACACTGACTTCCATATTGTAACATCTGCAATAAGTTTCAAAATTGACATAGAACAATAAAATTTGGCGGGGACGGTCTTGCCACTCATAAAAACTTCCACTGCAAATTTGATTGAAATCAAGCAAGCGGTACAGAAGCTGACTTGTCCGGGTAGTGCCCCCCCCTTAATGCTAATAGTACAGCAAAACACCAATACACAGCTGAACAAGCAACATTTACCAGTAATGAATGTATGCTTACTCACTAACAAGAACTTTAAAATTACCATTAAAATCAAGTATCTGTTGGCAACCAGATCATTTTAATAACTACCACAAAAGAGAAATTTAATTTCCCTTAAAAAAAACTAAAGAAATTCTTGAAAAAAAAAAAAAAAGAGTTAAAGGTGAATAGAGTATTTTTATCCCGTGATTTTGAATATCACATTCGTTTTTCCAAGATGTAAATAACACGAAAAACCTCCGACCAGTCGCTGCGATACAAAATGATCCTTCAGCCGCCAAGTGAGAGTCCCTCGTGTGGGCAGCGCGTGCAATTGCAAGCTCACCAAGTACATTCCCTCGAATCGACACCAGTTGCGACATCTTTTTCTGACCTATCTGAAAATAGCAAGAGTGCTCTTGCGTAGCTTCGATGGGTGTCGATGTGCAGGAGCGTGGATTTCGAAAACCCATTTCATGACTAAGTAAGGCTCCAAGAAGGAGGGGCTTCGGCGGTACTTCAAAAATTACTTTCAGCAGCCTCCGTGCACCAAAGTGAAAAATAATCTCAATATTCGTGATCCTGAAGGCCAAACGAAGACAGTTTAAGCGTTTTTACTCAAACACAGAACCACTTCAGTTTCCCCTCAACATGCAGACAAACCCGGCACTTTTGGCTACCCAGCTTTAGAGCTGCCGTCACTCTGCTCATACATCGTGCAAAGGACACTGCTCTCACTGCAGATGTCAAGACAATTAACTACGGGCACACCTTGAGCACATTCAATGCATGTTGACTTCATACATACTTCAAACGTGTCTGCAGACAGGTTTTCTATGATGCGTGACAGGACCTTCATGCCTCAGCAGTGTAACCATGGCCTTAGACACACGCAAGGAGGCAGCCCTGCCACTCATTCCCTCCCTCGCCCCCGAAGCAGAGAAGGGGCCGGAGTGCACGCACCTTGGTGATGATCTCCTTGAAGTGAGCCTCCCTCCAGGCCTCAGTGGGGTGCTGCATCATGGTGACCACGGCGTTGTCGAACTCCTCGTACTTGTCGTAGAGGAAGACTAGCTCGGCCCAGAGGTGTGCCTGCTCGGCGGCCCGCAGCACCTTGGGGATGTTCACCCGAGACCAGAAGAGCTCCAGGTGCTCTCGCATCTTGGCCGGCTTGTACTTGGAGTAGAGGATGGCCAACTCCGTGAACATGCCCATGTGTGCCCGTTCCAGGCCTAGGGCCGCCTCCAGCAGCGCTATAAGCTCCTCGAAGAAGCCCCGGTCCTGGTAGTAGTGGATCAGGTCCTCCAGCTCGTCCGCGTGCACCACGATGTGCAGGCCGCACATCTGAGCCAGCCGGAACTCCTCGTTGTCCACGCACGCAAAGCACACCTCCTTCCAGGTACGCGTAGAGTTGGCCTTGCGCGCCGAGTCCACAGCACCCTGCAGAGAGCGAGGTGGACGTGCGGGCAGTCGGCGAGAGTCCACAACAACGATCTAGGGGTACTCGCAAGCAAACTTTATAGGGCTTGCTTCTTTCGTAGCTGCTAGATATACAGCTACCCGGAATGGGCATAAAAGTGGTCTGTACGTCCCAGGAGCCAACCAAAGGCTCGCTAGCGAGACAGCAATACGAAGTATGCTCTGCCATTTTCCACCCAGAACTGTGTTTACGGCAAAAAAAAGCCAAGATTGCTTAGGTTCCATTTAGAAAAAATAAACCGCACAAAACATGATGCAGGCACAAGCACCACTTGTCTTCAGTCACTTTGATCAGAAATAAATTTTATGTTTCCCGTTTCCACAGCCAAAGTATTAATCTAGAGGCCCGACAGTGATCTCGCCGGTGGAAAAACGAGCCCTCAACAGATTTCATGCACCTCGGCCTGAACCCTGTTCTGTAATCAGAGATTCCCCGTCGCAAATCAGCCCAAAATCTACCCAATAGACTGTATGAAAGTCCAAGGTGGAGGCTCTCGAGCCGAATTTTCCCCCCTATTTAGAAGAGAAGCCAAGATTGCCCATACAGGGATGGAATAGTGCTCGGCAGTTCACTGTGCACGCGAGCGTTCCAAGACCCTCGCCCGCTCTCTGCAGGGCCCACTGACCTGGAACTCCTTGAGGTGGACCAGGGTGATGGCCAGGCGTGCAAAGTTAGACACATTGTTGTAGAGCAGCTTGGCCGGCTCGTATAGGCCGTCCTCGAAGCAGCGGTCCCCGATGCGCTGCACGTCCGCATGGTTGGGGCCCGACACAAACTCCTCCAGGTCGGCCAGCCGGTTCGTCTTGGCGTACGCATAGATCAGCTCAGACTCCACGTACGACTCCCGCCCCTTCTTGCGGGCCATCTGCAGGTAGCGCACGAGGTCCTCCCAGGAGCCTGCAGAATGGGAGGGCACACGTCGCAGAAGATGCCAACGTAGAACCTCGGACATTTGCGGAGCAATTAACGAGGGATCATCTGCGGCCGTCAGGGCCGGACAGCCTCCGTTCCAGAAGCCCTGGAGAGCAAGACTCGTCAAACACAAAACTGGGGCTAAAGTTTACGAAGCACGCCAACCAGACGCTCGCGACGCCACCGCACTTTTGTCGCGGAAGTCTGATCGGCCCACACCGCCGACTTTCAGCCCCGGCTTTGCGTTCAACGAGTTTAGAGCCCCCGGTACAGCCACACATTTTGTTTTCAGAGAAACTCCTGTAGTAGTTGCCGATGGGACGGGAATGGTGGGTCGTTCCGCCTCCACCGCCCACTTCCTATCTACGACGACACTTCGGCGAAAGGCAACAAGTGTGGGCTGGAAGCGTTCGAAACAAGCTGGTCTCACATTGTCGGGGACCATACACACGGACTATCAGAGAGCTCATCAAAGTAGCGGCAGAGACAGATTTTCTCTGCCAATTCAGTTTGCCACTAAACCACTCTCGGACTCTGCCGCAACATGCGGCCAACCTGTTCCTTGCGTTTTATTTTCGTTCGGACTTTTCACATCCCAGCAGGCTTCAATTATTCGGCTTCTATTATTACATAGGGTCTGGGAAGTCTCAATATTTAAACACTATTACCGGGACACATCGCCACCTGCCGAAACACTAAAACGAGACAGAGAGAGAGGAGGAAGAGTCTCCCACCGGTCTTGTGTGCGGTCTGCACGACGTCCAGGTAGGCGGTGTGGTCTCCCGCCTTGATGAAGGAGTCGATGGCCTCCTTGACCAGGCCCTGGCCCAGCTGGGCCCTAGCCAGCTGGCTCCAGACCCCTGGCTCGTTGCAGCGCTCGGCAAACTCGTAGGCCCGGTCCAGGTTCTGGATGTGCTCGATCAGAACCTGGATGGCCGAGGTGTTCACGTCGAACTTGCGGAAGATGGCGAAGGCCTCCTCGTATAGCTCGCTGCCAATGGCAATGTTGGCAATGTCCGGGGCGTCGTAGTTGTCCAGCCGGTTGATGTACTCCATCACGCGGGTGCGGTCCGCCTTGATGGCCGTCAGGATCAGAAGGTTCTGCAGGTTCCTAGGAACAAGCACACTGGGTCAGACCCCCAGTCCCTCGCGAAAGGATGCGGTGTGGCAGTTGCTTCACAGAGCCACAATTGCAACCAATCCCAAAACCAGAATCCATGATCATATCCACAATATGCTAGAGTAGACCATCTCAGGTTATGTACTGTCTGAAGCAAAAGTTTGGATAACGTCAGAGCGCCAACGAAGTGTATCACCGCGCTCCCCGGAGGCGTGTCACCTGCTGCAGAGACTCGTGCAGTGCACACGTGCATCCTTTATCTGCCGGGTTACTCGTTTACCCACTTTAATGCAATGCTGCCCTCCAGTCTGATTAAAATGGCGATAGACGCTCCGGCAGCCGCGATTCCCACAATCTTCACTCATCGCTCTGGACAGCAGCCGAGCGACCACGCTCACATGCTCTGCGGCACGAGCGGTTCACGCGACTCGCGCAACTCGGCGACGCATTAAAAAAATTTTTCTTTTGCATTTTTTTTAACTTTTTCAAATTTGCAATAGAACTATCTGACTTCACTAGCTAATTTCCTTATGCCACAACAGCCTCTATGAATCGTGGGACTTGTCTTTTAGCAGGTGGGCCAGCCGTGCAATGACCCTGGGGGGGTAAACCATGAGACATGGCTATCTGTCTAGCAAACTGCCACCTGCCTCCCAAGGACTACAGTTGTGGCGGCGACACGCATGTGCTGAACAGTTGCCAAGATCCGTCCAACTTGGGATGGAATGAAATCAATGCATTCTGAAACAAGGTCCCTTGGCGACATGTGCCAGATGCACGTGAGGTTCACAATGCAGCCAGAGCTAATACAGTAAGACCTCGTTATAACAAAATAAGATATAACAAATGAATGGATATAACAAAGCAATCATAATTCCGCTTGTTTGCTAATAGTGGGAAGAAATGGACATTGGCTATAACAAACAAATGATTATAACGAAATAATTACGATCGCCCCTTCAACTTTGTTATAACAAGGTTTTACTGGAGGCCAATCTCACTAAGCAATCAATGCACGCGTGACACCGCCGTAACTGTAGTCAACAGGAAGCAGGCAGCAGTGCAAAAGATGGAGTCTCGTGCTCTGCTCACGCGACTTCCGGCAGGGTCGTCGCGTGTGCCGAAAGGCTACAGCTTCCACGATGCATGCCAGCAGCGGCGGCGTAACAAAACTGGCCCCATTGCGAATGGGAAGTGTAAAAAATAACTTAAATAAAAAAATGAGTTTTTATTGCGTCGCGGAAACTCGAGATTGTCACGTGAACTGCTTGTGCCGCAAAGCACGTGAGCTCGACCGCTCAGCATCGGCTGAGCAATGAGCGAAGATTGTGGAATCGCAGCTGCCGTAGCGGCGTTTATCGCCGTTTCAATCTGACTTGAGCACGTAGCGTTGAAGCGAGCAAATTAGCAGATAAGAAAGGATGCGCATGAGCCGTCAGGGAGCGCGGCGATGCAATTCCGTTGGCGCTCTGGTGTTATTCAAACTTTTGCTAAATGATCGTACATGGCGAAGTTTGAGACAAAAACTGGAACAATTCCGAAAGCGATGCTCGTAAAAAAAAAAAAAAAATGTTACCACAAAAATTTATGGAAGATCAAACATACAGCAGTGCTTTTACACCAATGTAAGAGTAAAAGCAGACATTAATACTTCTTGGGGTGAAAAGAATCCTAATCCCATGGCAAAAGCAAGACAATGCTCATGGCCTTGGATTACCATGGAATGCACAGTGTACACGAGCACCGAGACCCAGCTCCCAATTCCCCCCAATGCTCACTACCGCTCACCTCTAGAACCAACATGAGATCCAAAGTATGAACCAGCGGCAATCTTGGGGCAAGGACACCGAACACCGCACTATCCCTAAACCCTGCTGCAGGGTAGTTGGTACCTGTGGTCGCTGAAGACCGAGTTTTCGAGCACGATCTTCTCGAGCAGCTCGATGAGCTCGTTGGGCAGGTCGGCAGTCATGAAGGCCTTGACCGTCACCGAGATGTCTTCGGGGTCCTGGGTCTCCGAGAGGGCAGTCTGCACCACCTGGTCAATGAGCGGCCGCCGGAACGGGTTGCTCTCCGCCAGCACCTCCGCCCACAGGTCTGGGTCGCGCCGGCGCACCAGGTAGCGCGCCTCGCTCTTGAACAGCGAGTTGTCGTTGCACACCTGCAAAGCGCAACAGTAGACGCACTGTTAAAAGCTCCCGTCCTTCAAGATGCACAACACGCTAAGAACACCGGCACTGCCACCAAGCACAGAGTTGTGCCCCATTTCCAAGATATAAGTCGGGAAAAGGGAGCACGTCGTGAAGTTTGGTCAATGTTTAATGAAGAAAAAAGGACACTCATGATCCTACTTTTGCTTTTTGGGATACTTGAAGCATATCGATCGAAATTATGCAATAAACAGAATCTCCAAAACCGGTTTAATGTTCAGTCTGATCTACTCTGGGACTAAGCAGTGGACATGATATTTAGCGCTGGAAGTGCAGGAAGTGAAGAAACGCCTTTGAGTAAATCGTCGAGGCTTGCACCCTGCTTCCAAGCTTTAGCCGAATTCAGAAGTGCACTAAGCAAAGTTTAAAAAGTTTGCATAAAATTTTTATAACGATTTTCAGTTACTCTAAAATATACTCGTCTTACAATCTCATAATTTCACTTTTTCATTTAAAGAACCGAATAAGAAGTCTCTTTGGAGTCAGCGTCGAAGTTGGATTTAAACACGTCTATAAACAAAAATGTACAGCACAGCCTACCCCCAGGGAACCTTTGAGCTCCGTTCATTGGCAAACTAGAAGGGCAGTGGAGGAGATTCGGGTGCTGACTACCGTATTTACTCAATTCTGGTGCGACCATGTGTGTAACGCAAGGGGCAACTTCACATATTAACTTGAGGGGAAAAATAAAACCACGAACGTAACAAGAGGGTAGCTGAGCAATAACAAAGTACCTTTAAGGTACAGTCACCGACCGATTTTTCAGACGCCAATAATTTTGACCTGTTCAATCTTTTGAACCTAAAGCAGGAACCACGACCTACCAGATAGAAATACTGCATATTCCCGACCGATTTTCGAACAGTTTCAAGCCCGAAAAATTGACCTTTCAAAAAAAAATCGTCGCGAGCAATTATCGGGAAGCACCATTGAGAAGCCGCTATTTTAGATTCTATGCTGGCTGCACATAGATTGTCTTGGTTTAACAGTGCTGCTTGAGTACTGCTAAGCTTTCATTCACCATTCTGCTTTCATTCACCAGTCTGCAGTCGTAGACCTGCACCTCTCGTCTCATCTAGGTGAATTTTGTTTTCTGACTACACTGGCTTGGACGTCATGGCCCCATCTGCTCTTCCGCCGGACCACTGTCGCTAAGAAGCGCGGAAAGTAAGTACTCGACCTTTATGCTAGAAAAGGCGGCAGCGATTCTCAAGCTAATGAACAGAAAGTGTCAGACCACAAGCGTAGCCGTAATCTGAAGCAAGGCACACTTTACGAATTTTTTAATCCCACCAAGTTATAATTAAGGCAAGTTTTTAATCTGTTGATATTTTGGACTGCTCCATTATTCTGACATTTTTTCGGTCCCTGCTAAGTCTAAAAAACTCCGATGCTTAAGCTTCACCTTTAAGTGTGGAACGCGACAGTGTTATAGGGCCCCGTTTGCATCGCATTCTCCTACGCTTCTCATGTTGTTACCACCAGTGAGCAGAAAGTGCGGCGGACATGGCTGTCAGTACCAAGTCTGGCTAGCAGCCTTAGGGTCGTGGATTCAAATCCCCCTAAAATTCTTCAAATTTTTCTTTTAAGGAAAATAAATTACTTTATAAAGTGAAATCATTTGAGACATGTGGCGACCTTTATTTTGCATTATATGTCACATTTTTTAATCACTTTCATTCCACGGGTGATGACGCGTTTCACGCGAGCATAGTGGTTTGTTTGAAATTCCTGCGCGAGGTCATATAGCTGCAAATTTGTGACCCTATCGACCAATAAGGATTTTCCTCTCACGCCGTTGCAAATGCCGACTTTTCTGCAACATGAGCTCCTTAACGCTACCACATTAAAATCTGTCAGCGACTGTTATTTATTAGTTCAGTTAGGGAACAAAAGGAGTGAAAGTTCCAAAACAAAAGTACAGACTCAAAGCCAGAACAATAGGACTTAGAAAGAGCCGGCCGAGTTACCTTAGTCAGCTATGGAGGTTAACACAAAGAATTGCACAAGCAGCCCATTTTGATACTAGATATGAATCTAGATCTCATGGTTCTCATTTCAAGTATAAACAGCTATATGTTGCCAGCACAAGACAAAAACAACGGGAATCCAGAAGGTTGCAGGCATTTTAAGACAATGACACCGATCGGGTCACCTTCACAACCATTCAATTCTTACTCAAAGGTCAATGTTAGAGCTCGCAATTTTCGGATAAAGCTCATGTTACGTTTGAGTAAATACAGTAATCAATAGCCTAACCATGTGATGCATGGAGGTAGGAAGCTTCTGGAGGCGACATGACGCCACCAGAGGTGAAGCCAGAGGTGTAAAGGGACATGCCCTTAACCATGACTTAAGAGATGCTATTGGCTCTCTTTTCGTCCAATAGCATCTCTTGGTTTTGGTCATTGTTAGGGACGCGTCCCTGCACACTTCTGGCTTCACCTCTAGTTGAGTCACGTGGCCTCCACGAGCCTCCTACCTCCATGATGCGATGCAAGACCGACGAGCGACTGGTCCAATGAGGCCTTCCGTTATCTTGAGCGATAGACGAAGTGCAGAAGCGCACTAGAGGGGAGGAAGATGCACACCTGGACCAGCTCTCGGTCGCACTGGCCCCGCTCGTAGGCCAGGCAGGCCAGGTGGGGGTCCCGCTTCTCGCAGTAGCGGCCCACCACCCGGCTCTCGTAGAACTGGTTCTCTCGCAGGAAGCGTTCAGGGTTGTTGTTCGAGTCAATGTAGATCTTGGCCAGGGCGTTGTGGGTGGCGGGCTCCTGGCAGCCCTCGTGCAGCCTGCCCTCCAGCCAGGGCAGGAGCAGCTTGAGGCGGTTGCGCTTCTCCACCTCGGCCACCAGCTCGTCGGTGGAGAACTGGCCCCGGACCACCAGGATCAGGCCCTTGATCACCTCCTCAGCACAGTCCACGTCCAGCAGGCCCCCCACCACCACGGGCAGACGGGACGGGTTCACCTGCACGCGGGCACGGGCAATGTCGCCCAGCGACTAAGGGGTCGGACACCGGCTAAGCTAGTAAACTTCGAAATGCCATCGCACAACAACCAAGCACAGACTGAACACGAGTGCCGAGTTGGCACTCGGCTGGGACTCGAATTCGGTCGGTGACGGGGCCCAGTCGTAGGGTCGACGCCATCTTGGTGCAATGAGGTAAGAGGGGGTTTTATCTCTAAACTACCTGATCTGGAAGAGTCATATGGCATAGATGCTTAGACCGAAAATTGCAGGACAATTGGAGTCACTGAGAGGATTAGAACAGCAGGCAAGGTTGCAGTTATTGAACATCCAGCGCGAGCTTCCTTCGATAACACCGGCGTCTCGCGATACCCGAGCGGCCATGCACGGCCGGAGCACGGCGGAAGGCAATGAACAAGAGGTGAAGGCTGGGCGTTAAAACAAAAGTCCCCGCTATTCTGTCGGTAACCATAAAACATTCAAATCGAGCATTGCACCGACTTGAATGCTGCAAGCTTCCACGAGGATAGAGGCTTTGAGTTTCTTTAGCTAGTGTGCTAGGAATATGACATAGCTGTTGGGCAATGAGGAGAAACCTCTACATCGGGCCAGCAACAGGGCTTTCCTTCAAGGATGGGCTCGTTCCGGTCGAAACCAAGGGCAAAACACTACACCAGCTTTTTGGTCTCCAAATAAGCCCAACTTCCTCAAACCTTGTTACTGGTACGAGTATCCAAAAGTTCCTTATCCTGAAAAGCCAGGTGGTATACCTGCTCAGTCTGTGAAGTAGGAAAAATCTAGAAATCTGGAATATCCAAATTAAGCACAGTGTCAAAATAACTGCTCCAAGCTTCCTCGGGAAGCTAAACTTTGTGTCTACCAAAAGTATTAAGAGTTCTGTCCCTCAAATTCAGGCAGATGTTTTTATTAGAAAGCCAGGCAAGTAACATAAAACTGACTAACACCTCCTATATGGTGCTGTACACATCTATCAGAAAGCTGCAGCTTGAGCCCCCTTAAAGCTAAACCCCGTCAACACTTCCAAACTGCCATCAAAATTTGCAACTGATCCCAGAGTTTCAAGAGTGCCCACCTTTTGAACGTAGATCTCAATGTACTTCTGCAGGCTATTGCGGTACAGGTAAAGCACCAGGTCGTGGACAAAGTCGAAGCGATCGCAGACAATGATCAGGGGCAGCTGGTCCGTCAGCTTGGCCTCCTTGAGGAAGTTCTTAACCCGCTCGGCGTTGTAGCAGTTGCTCTCCCGGCAGATGCGCTCAACCTCCTTGATCTGGCCCGTCTTGCAGGCTGCCTGGATGTACTTGAAGTGCACCTCTGGGTCCTGGCTGAAGTTCACGATGGAGCCCAGGAAGTAGAAGAGGCCCTCGTAGCTCTTGAACGACTCAAACAGGTCGATGAGAGAGGCCGTCGTCAGCTGCTCGTGGTACTTGGTGGCCACCTGTACGCTAATCTGCAGGTTCTGGCGCAGGTTGTGTGTCAGCATGGCCCGCAGGCACTCCAGAGAGTCCTCCACTGACAAGGAGCCAAAGTAGTTCACCAGCCACTGCAATGGGAAGGAACGCACAGACAGTTTCGTGAACACACGGCCCCTCCGCAAGCCCCAGGATGTCACAGCCTCAAATAAGTTCTAGCAACGTGAAGCCAAGGAGGGAAAGACTATCAAAATGCTGCATTTCGTAAGCACCGACAGCGGTGATTCGGAGAGAAGGAATGTGAAAAACAGTGACACAAGAGTGGAAAAAGAAAGTAAGCGAAGGGATAGGCATGTTCGTTCTGCTGAAACGGTTTAGGTTGTTCGATTATTTGTTGACGTTTGCTTTCCTTGATACAATGCATGCCATCAGTGTTTTACAAGGATAACTGTTATGGGCTCTTTCCAACACTGGAAATAACGTCAGTTGATACTGAAGTAGTTGTCGATGAAGGGTATCGTCGTAGTTGCCAAATCCCTGATAAAGATTGCCTGCTGCCTGCAGGAATCGAGCCTGGGTCCGCCGCATTGTGAACGGAGGCGCTACCACTGAGCTACGCCACAGTTAATAACCCAAACTAAACTTGTGGTTTATTGAAGTATACAGTGCCCACTGCACGTGCTCTGGAAACAAAAGATAGCCTATAACAGAGTGCCGTCGTAGCGCTGTCAATGCCAAGATCTCCTGCCGCAAGATGAGCTTTCAAGCGCTCCGAAACAAAAAGAAACGAAAGCGTTGGGAACAAAATGGACCAAAAAAGCGTTCAGAACAAAACTGACATTGATTTCGTTCCCAATGCTTTCGTTCACACACCCCACTGCCCCACAGTGTGTGAAAGCGATGCTGATGCCCAACGACTTAACCGTGATGTGTTGCAACTATCGCTGTAACTGTACTGTGGATTAATACAGGATTCCTAAATTTCTTTGCGAAAAAAGAAATATTCCTAAATTTCTTTACGGTGTGTGAACGCAGCAAAATAATGCCCTTGCAGGCATTATTTCACTGCGTTTATTAAGGCCTTGCCAGCTATCCTGTTACACTGGGAATATGGGTGACCTTTCTAGATTTATAACCATATTCATTCAAATCCAGCCATAGTTTTTTTAAAAAAAAAAGGGGAAAACTAAAATCTGGGGATCGGCTTGGAAAAGAGGAATTCCTTACGCCATCTGGAGGACGCGCCTTGGAATTACCCGAAACCAACGCGCCGTGAACATCATCTTGACTATTGATGTGGGAAGCGTGCGGAGGCTTTCAGTAGATGACACCACAGACACCGTGCACCTCACGTTACAGTTTTTCCCCTTGAGATCCTGGTTTTGTTCCCGCTTGTCACGATGGCACTAACCAATCGATCCCATTACACTGCAGCTTTCAAGCGAGGAGTCGTTTTAGCAGCGGAGCAGTCATCAAACCTCCAGGCCCAGCAAGACCTCAAAGTGGACAAAAAAATTGTGAGTCGTTGAGGGGAAACGAAGTGCTCAACTGTTTGACCGTACTGCAGAGATAGCATTCTCGAGACCGCGGAGAGGTCGACATCCTGAAGTAGAGAAGGGAGGTCGCAAGCTTCATCAAAACTTCGTGAGCAACGAAACTTTCTGTGAACACAAAAATCACCCAAGCAAAGGCGAGTGATGTTGGAAAAGCACGAACTGTGCCTCGAACAAAGTTCAAAGGAAGAAAGAAAGGGCTGGGTCCAAAGGTTCATGAAGAGATTTGAGTTTAGTCCCCTGCGACAATGTCGGTTTGCCAGAAAGTTCCTTAACGAATTATGAGAAGCTGATCGAATTCCAGAGGAGAGTAACAAAGAGTTGAGTGACAAAGATGACAAGCGACAAAGAGTCGAGTGACGACGACCTGAGTTACGACCGCGAGTGAGAGTCAAGTGACGACGAGTGACAGAGAGTCTAGTGACAAAAAGTCGAGTGACGAAGAGCGACTACAATAATCTACGAACACGCTGGCAGTCTGGACATTTTCTAGAGTTCTCCGCATCAGAATAAACATTCTATTTTTAATTGGTGGCTTTCTTACAATTTACAATCGACGGTATTTATAATTCTTTTACTTGATTTTTCGAGGTGCGCCTAGAACTGATGCAGTCCTTAATTTTAATAAATATTTAACATGAACAGTGCGGAACGAAAAATGTAGGCTCGTCAGGAAAGTTGAAAAGGGAAAGATGTCTAGCGTGGAATCCCGCACTTGCCTCGGCATTCAGCAGGTGGGTGTGCACGATGGCTCTCTTAATGTCGTACAAGTCAGTGTAGTGCTCCAGGGCCTGAGGGACAGAAAGAATGCACAGGGTCAGGAACACGCACCACCCTCATGCGCACGGGAAAAAAATTAATCAACGTACCCTCTGCAGGAGTCCAGCCTTCTCGCACAGCTGGGCCACATGGGCGCGGTCGTAGTGGGTGAACATCTGGTTCCCCAGGATGGCGTCTGCAACCTGCATCACAAAATAAGAAAAAGCTCGGCAAGAGGATCGCATTTAATGCACCGCTTTCCGACTGGCCCAGTTTACCGGAATGTGTGCAACGTTACGAGATGTGAACAGGTAGCACCTCAATATCCTCAGAGTCATCCAAAGCGAAATGCAGATAATGCCCTTGCCTCAATAGCCTTGCATTTAAGATGCTGACTAAGATGTTAGGGGTCAATGCTCTTTGGTCTCCGAAATAAATTACCATCTTACCTGGCTCAACAGAAACAAATTTCGTGAAGCGTGGGTCGGAAAATACCTTGCAGGCACAAATTTTTGCAATCTGAAGGGTTACGCTAGGATATATTACCCTAGAGTGATGTATCCGTGAGATGAAGGTTTCGATATTGTCCAAATAGCAAAACTCGCAAAAAGTAAATAATATGGGCGGTGAAAAGTAGTCATAAAGCAATATGGTGGTCCCCATCATACTACACCACTTGCAGTGCACATCCACCCATGCCAAGCCGTGTTAAGTGTCCAACATCTTGACCATAGGAATTTAAATGCACACCTATGTGGCGTCCATTTAAGTTTTTAAAGATGTGTAACGCCAGGCTGTCCGAAAGAATTGTCTCACCGCAGTTTTTTACATTTTTCCTTTGTTGCCAAAACAATTTACAGGAGGATGCTTAAGAGAACGTAAACTCTTATTTTTAGAACTATCTGTATGAAATTTTAAGTTATGTTCATAGCACATATATAAGAGTTACTGTTAAGTTCCACAAAGTTGCACCAATCAGTTTTTAATTTACTAAGTTTTTTCTGTATGGTTCACTTTCTTCCTTTATCCCAGGCCTGGAGAAAGGGAAAGTAGGGTGAGAATGTGAAAAATATAAGCACAGGCCCCCCAGGGCATGACAAAGCCTTTTTTATTAATTTATTTTCAAAAACCTTTTTGCGCAGCATTGGAATTCATATTGGTGGTCATATCCTTATCCATCCAATTTAATTTGAGTATTAAAACATTTGAACACTTAATTAACACTAGTTTTTTTCAAAAGGAAGCTTGTCATACCCTCGCAGTTATTTAGGAACAGAAAAGACTGCATGCAAATCTATTAAACAGTTCCAAAGATATCGCAGAGATAAGCGCCCATGCCAGCAGAAAAATCGATTTTCAGAAAATGGCAGTTCAAAGTTGCAGACATTTTCAGCACTGAGCCAGTTCCACGTGGCGCAATTATGCTTGCTATTTCCATTCTCGTGCTGCAAAGAGCCTGTGGACAGAGTATGTACGCACAAATGTCACCGTCCACGGCTTTTACAGCGGAGCTGTTAAGGGCTAGGTTACCCAGGATCGTGTATGTGTATGTTGACGCAAACCTACCTGGACAGCTGCCGCCATCTATAAGCGACGGCGGCAAGCACATTGCTAGTATGGTTTCTGCCGTCGCTCGTAGATGGCGGCAACCTTTCCAGCTATAATAGAAGAATGAATAGTTGGGCGCGTTGGTGGGAATTCACCATAGGAAACAGTGCGAAAAACAGACGACGACGAAGAAGCACACAGTGTATCGAGTACAGCTGCGCTGGTCTTCCTTCTTCACGAGAGTGGAAAGGCTGAACGATTTTTATTAATTTCTTTTCTCTTGAGCGAGTAATGTTGCAACTGAAAATCACAAATCGCAAGCAGGATTGCGCCCCGTGAAATGGCTTTACCCGCGGAGTGGTAGCTGGAAATGTACTTGCATGCTTTCTTTTTGTTCCACTGTTTTCTTTACTTTGTTTCGACGGCCGACGGCATTAAATAGAACCACACTCTGAAGTAGCAACTACGAGCATCAGTATCCTGCCACGCAGAGGCGGGCCGCCGATGCTGCTTCCAGTGGTCGCCATGCAAACGAGATTGCATGGATCGCTTTCGTGCGTTCAGTGCGTGCACCGTCGCTCAATTCATTCCCTGCATTTCTTGCAACCACGAAACATACCGGCAAAGTATGCGAAACTACTAAAACAAAGGGCTGCAAACAATCGTACAGATGACAAAAAGCAAAGTTAAGTTGACAAAGCCCAGGAACAAGCAGACGACGCGAAGATGGCGAGGCAGCGAGACACCCCGGCGGCATGATAGCCACGACAACGCAAAAACAAACGTCACGGCCAATAGTAGTCACGCGCTCCCTTGAGCGGGCGCTTTGGCCAATCCCCGCTTCGCAATCGCAAGGCGGGAAAACGCTGATCACTCTAAAACTATGAAGAAGACGCTATTTTGAAAGGTGGCAAAAAGAAGAAAAAGAAACTCCACTTCAAAACAAGATGAAGGTGGTGGTGTCCGCCAAGTTAAAAGAGAACAGGAATCGCTCGAAGTCCAGCTCGATTTAGCGTCTTTAGAGTAATTCGGAAGCTGCCGGGATCTCGTAAACATTTTTTAAACATTTTCTTAGTGAATTAGGTGTTGGGTAGTTTATGAAATATACAACCCAAAAAAGTGGTTTTCCAAAAATCCTCTATTTCGCGACTTTTCGATTTTCAATCTTTTTTAAGAGTGAAACGCGATAGCAAAACATAAGCATACAAACTCTCACTCATTCCCAAACCATGCAATCGTGCCTCATGTGCCCTAATCCGTAGAGAGTGGCTTGCACCCGAAGGGTCGTGGGTTCGAATCCCGGCCAAAATTCTTCAAATTTTTCTTAAAGTGAGATTATTTGAGACGGGCAGCGACCTTTAATTCGCATTACATGTCATGTTTTTTAATCGCATTCATTCCATGCGAGACGTCACGTTTCATGCAAGCCTGATGGGTTGTTCGAAATTCCTGAGCAAGTTCATGTGGCTGTGACATTACGACCCCATTGACGAATTAGGATTTTGCAATCACAACGCTACCGACGCTGGCTTTTCTGCGACACGAGCTCCTTAACACTATCGCGTTAAAACTTTTGCAAACAACTGCCCCCAAAAAATTTACGTTCATCCTTAGACTGATTTATGCTGTGAATGAGAAATTCAGTTAATGCAGTACAACTGCTAGCCTGAGGTCTTTACAGCCATCATGCAGTACTGGTACACAACTGCACACCAATACAATGTTCATCCAGATGAAAACTAGAAGCGGCAGGAATTGAACACAGAATCCCTGGGTTCTGCAGCCCGAGCTTTTGTTTCTTGTGCTCCAAGATACGGTGCACTAACGCTTGGCCACCAATCCCCCACAACCGAGTGCTAAGAGCCAGATGTGCTTTTCCCAAAAACCAGGGAAAACCTGAACAGCTTACCTTCTGCTGACCTAGAGACTGGAAAAGGTTTTGCTTACATGTTTCGACCGAAAATGTGCAATAGAAAACCACAGCAGACATTGTTTATACTTTAAGCAGGGTGAGGATGCTGCAACATTAGACCAGTTATCTGAGAGATTAACTAGGTATCTGAACAGCTCTTCTAACGTAATAGTGAAATGTTAGCCTTCAAAATTACTGCTTTGCATTCTGGCCAAGTCACTACCAACCCTCCCATTCAGCACAGTTTCCTTGCAGAGCCAACTTGATTTTGCAGGTTCTTTCCTCATGGCAACTAATCTTGATCATAGCACACATCCTGGATTGTTGATGCAATTTTCTGCCTGAACTACACAAGTGTTCCTTTCCAAACCTAAGATGACCTAAAACCTGAGACAACCCCTCCCCAAATAGTAACAATCAATGTAGAAAAAAATTGCACTGAAGTTTAAAACTACCTAGAAGCACAATTATCTTTCCAAGTTGCCAAAACCTTGACTGAGCATCAAGCGAGAACAAAGTCTTTGCGAAAGCCCCCCCTTTTTTTTTCTAAGACAAGCCTCTCCTGACAGACGGGAAAAACGGGATACCAAGAGACCAAAGATGAAACGTGGATAACACGCGTCGAAGTAGGGCAGAACTGGCACATAGAGGAGCCTTCTGTCTGGACTCTGAGCTTGAAGCAACACATCTAGTTATAGGCTTGGCTTTGTTACATGGTGCCATCTTTGGCGATGTCACATTCAGTTCTTGGAGCTTTATAGCTTTTGGGCAGCAGTTTTTTCAGCAGCAGAGTTAAGGAATACAGTAGAACCTCGTTGATACGTTCCTAGTTTTCCCAACATTTACATTCGAAACCAACAGTCCCAACAAGCTCCCATAGGAACACGCGTGTTCTCGTTTTATTAGTTTTCCCAGATTATAAGTGTTCTTTTTTTGCAATCCCCTGAGAAACTTATCCAACAAGATTCTATTCTATTTTTATCTTCGTGGTACTCTTTCTCTCAAATCGGCCCTTCCAGGGTGAAAGCAGATTTTGCTTACAGCCTTTTCCATTAGACTTAAAAAAGACCCCTTGAGCACAGCCTCATATTTTTCAGAGAAAAACCAAGATTTTCACTGAGGTTTGAGCAGTAAATACAGAGTGGTTCACTACAAATCTAGCGACAGTCATACTGTGGTGCAAACATCCTCTACCAATCTACCTTTCCCATGAAAGCTAGCGTGGTCTAGCAAGCATGTACCTTGCTTGTTCCCTCACACTGAGACTAACAGCATTTCCTCACATCAGGTTGCTGTCCCCTAAAGGAACCCTTTTCCATTGAGGGTCCAGCATCGAAACGCCGGTAGCCGGCTGACCAGAGGAGTCATTCCCCACCTGTGGTGCAGTCATGAGGTTCATCTCCAGCAGCCTGGTCTGGAGGTTGCTCTCGGAGGGACGGTTGTTTTTCAGGGCATCCAGAAGGAAGGCCGTACACTGCTGGACCAGGTTGGACTCCATGAACACGTCCACAATCTGCAACGACAAGCGACAGAACTCTATAATGGTCCAACGAAGATTTTCAGAAGAAACAGCTTGCAAACAAAGGTCACATGTAAGAGGTAGGAGTTCCACTGGGTAGCTCTAGCTGACAAGGGCCGAGACGGACATAAATGTTCCGGATTCTCTGGCGGGTGCCAATCTCAAACACCTGCTAAAATCCCACATTTTTTTTACATAAATACTGTCAAAAAAAGCACAGTGGAAACACCTGTAGTGGGACAGTTTATTACAATCAAACAATACCATCACTGACGAATGAAACATCCGATCAGCACCCCATGGCTGGAGCCCAAAACATTGCGAAAACCCATGAAAAATTGCCTTAAGACTGCCTTGCAGCATCCTCTTCCTCATGCACTGCATTGTATTGAAGGTACCTCCTTGGTTTATGTACACTGTTGCTGCTATTCTGCTGCATGTATCCACATGAAGCTAAAATACTAGTTAGACAATCAATTAGGCATCCACAAAAAAAAAAAAAAATCTTTGTTGCCATTTGCCTTGACATAAAAATCAGGTCATTCCGCGTATGCACTTGGTAGAAGTGCCATCAAAGGGCAGCCCAAAGGCACCTCATCTACGCCTGCTGGTCAGCCCTCGCATTTGTAGCTTTGACGACTTGCAGCCGCTACTGTCAACGTGCGAAACCGAAAGCGTCGCAGTGGTCTGTATACCATGACTCGCCAAATGCTCACTAGGACATTTTAGTAAGACCGATTTTGATTTCACAGATCTAAATAAAAGTAATGTCAGAGTGTCAACTTTGAAGGTGTTGGTTTAAGAATGCAAAGAACCAAAGCCTTCACCGAGGCTTTTTACCCACGCCATAGAACTCTTCGTTCACAACTAACAATATAACTTGCCATGTCACAATGAGGCAAATGCTGGTCTTGATGTCGCAGATAGAAACCACAAGGGAACCACCGAAACACGTCGGCGCCGATAACTGAAGAGCACCGGACAACCGTCGGGACAAGGCATTCTCTATGCAATGTCAACTTTCTCAACACCCACAGACTCCTTTCTTCATTCCAAATACCATCAACGACCTCACTTTTGCAGGCTCAACATTTTGCAAATTCGGTTAAGCGCGAGTTTCGCGGAATATTTTGCAGATACAAAATTTTGCGAGTGGAAGTAGGGTGCCACATTTGTTGCCACGGGGTAACATATCCGCTAGACTTATTTTTTGCTACATTATTCGGTTTGTGAACGTTAGGTACTCGCAAAAATTGAGGGTTTTATAGTACCAAAGATAGTCCTACAGATGTGGAACAGAGTCCAACGTGGCACAAATCCAGAAACCAGTCCGGGCCGCCAACAAGTCGTCCACCGCCAACCCCGACAGAGGCAATGGCACAGCCCACCCACCTGGTTGATGTCGGCGAGGGGCTCCTCATCCTGCACCAGCATCTGGGCGAAGGAGGCTCCCTGGTCCGGGTTCACCCGCATCACCTGGCGCAGCAGCAGCACGTAGTCCGGCACATAGCCCACCTTCTTAGCATACAGCACTATCTTCTGGAACTGCCCGGTCTCCGCAAAGCACTGGATCACCTGTAGTCAGGACAAGAAAGACGAGAGGCTTCGGCACAAACGTTCCGTCTCATCAACGCCGCCCTTCATGACACTTTTGGCAAGGGTGAGGAACGGATGCTGGTAACCGCAGCAACGAAGTGTATGAACCCCCAAACAAGAGAAAAGTAGGGTACGATGCTCGCTGCTGGCGACTTGTCCTAGTCTGAAAACACCAGAAACCACACCCCCTCTCCTGCTTAGAGCGCAACAGTAAAGCGAGCTTAGGGTTAGTACTACATCGATCGCAGCAGATTCACGCCATATACGCGACTACCAAAGCCGTACGCAGCTTAATACCGAAGTATCTGTAGCTTCATTGCTCTCAACAATGACGGAAGGCTGAGGCACATCTTTGGCAATAGGAAAGTCACTCTGGGACAATTTTACGGGCGACTAGTGCTTCCTACTCGATTCTATCTCGCTGAATAGTATGTGTACGGTAATTTTGCAGCCAGACCACTTCTTTTCGAGGCAGGGTACTCGCTTGTACGATCAAACCTACCTTGTTGGGAACATTTGCACGGAGGTAAACTGAGAGGGCCAGGGTTGGGTCCACTTGCTTAACCAGGTCCCCCAGTTCCTCACTGCATTCCAACTGCACAGAGAGGGAATTACAATTAGTGTGCTGCCACTACCAACGTTAAAGTTTGTTGTGCAAAATGCCAAATTGTACCACAAAATATTTATTAACATCCAACGAGAGGTACCTCAACCAAAACTAGCACAGCCAGTCCTGGACACACGACACAGATGTCATTGCAGCACCTTCGCAAAAGCCAACGTGAAATACACAGAACGAGGTTGACTCTAAATTTCGCAACACGCAAAAATGAAAGAGGTCACTTCTTTCTTACTAAACCTAACAAACTACTGTTTGAATATTCTTTTCAATTAAGAGTTAATAACAAAATAGTTCTTAAAATGTTTAAAGAGTTCCCTCTCTTACTACCACAGACTTCAAGTAAATTGTGATGATTACTTTCTCGAAGCACCTATAAAAGAGCAAGAAAACAGCCCACGATCGAGCGTGAAAAGCCAATCGTGTAGACAGCTCAACGGAGACCCCAGGGTATAGGAGCTGGGAGATAGAGTTAAGGAAAAGCTTGAAAAGAAAATACTCACTATAAACATGCAAGAAAAATTTATAATTTTCATGCAACCGAACAGACAAAACGACGCATCTCGTAAAAGACATTTTGAGGCACAATAAAAGAAGGCATAGAAACAATAAAAATATTGCCAGTTCCTCGCAGCATTCCCAAAATTTTCCGCGACAATAGCCAATCAGGTGCACGAATGACGTCCGACTTCAATTTCCCACCTAAATTTGGGGGGCGGGGGGCATGTTTTTTTCTTTTTTACTAAGTTCAGCTAGTCACCGACAAGGTGAGAACAGCAGAATTCTTGGAGCACGCGCTGGAGGCTGGGCGTTCAAAAAACACGCCCTGCTGCCCTCTCTGTCAGTGACTGTACCGAAAGCCCCCCACGAGACCCACCTTGTCGTCCTTGAGCCACTTCTCGAGGAGCTGCTTGCGCCCCTGCTGCAGCACGGGGCGGCACAGCTCCAGGCTCTCATACTTGTTCAGCTGCCCCTGGTCCAGCAGGATGCCGAAGTACTGCAGCAGTGGGGAGGTCTGCCCGGGTTGGTTGGGCACCTGCTGAAAGCGCTGGATCGTCTGCGGGGTGCGCAGGATGCCCTTGGGCGCGTTGGCCGCCACCTTGGCTGCCTCCGAGTACTGGCCGCCCCCAAACAGGGTATTGAACTTGACTACGAACAGGTCTTCGGCCCCGGCCAGGTTGTTGCGCACTGCCATGCGCAGCGCCAGGTCCGGGTTCTGCAGCACGTTTGTGATGTACGGGATGATGTTCTCCTCCTCCACGCTCACCGAGAGCACCTGCGTGAAAGGAAAGAGTCGGACGCTTCAAACTCTCTGTGAAACATTGAAGTAACTAAAGAGAGAATGAAATTCAACCATATTTATACGCGCCAACCGCGAAGACGTCCAAGAAATCTTAATGAGCTGGTATCCACCGGATAAAGGCCAGGGGCTTAAGGAATCTTAGTGAGCTGTAATCCTCCACAAACTCAACCGGATTTTGCTTTAATCTCAGCGTATCTAAAGTGCGTTTCGCGCTCGTGTTGATTCTCTCTCAAATCTCTAGAACTATGCAAACAAAAGAGAAATGGCTCTCGTTCAGAACTTGCGAAGCCTAATTGCGGTTGGCAAATGTGCACCAATAAGGCTAGACTAGCTAATGTGCCCGCGGTACCACAGTTTGGGCATCCTGTGCCGCCATCTGTAAACTGGCGTTGAAACTGAGCACCACCAAAGTGAGCGCCGCATACCGTTGTACACCGGCAGTCATGATTAACGCAGCGGCAGTAGTGCGGACTATCGTGCTAGTCTCCAATCTTTTCAGGCATAGAAAGAGGGTGCTTACATTCGCATGCAAACGTTTTTGTATTTCCGCCATGAAGACGGGGTGCTTAGAATTGCAAAATACTATGCGCACACTGTGTATTTTATGGTAGTTGATTTGCCAGTCACCAATAGTGGGCGTAGGTTCAGGTGGCTTATTGCTTGAAAATTGTTAATAGGACAAAGCTGGGCATTACTACTGGATAGACTACACATGGTGCGAGCTTGAAGTGCTCGTCCTACGTAAAGAATAGATCACGCCAACTGCAAAAAAAAAAAAAGCCGAAAAATCCCCACTTTGCACTGCCTCAACATCGAAGTGCACAACAGCTTGTGAACTAGTCAGTTAGAACCTTCGGTGAGGACTCTTGTAAGAGCCGATAAATCGCTCGCACGCGTAACCCCCCCCCCCCCCCCCCCCTCCCCCCCCGAAAAAAGAAATTTTAATATTTTACTTTTATTACAACAGACTATTTGAAAAAGCCATTAAAATTCCTAACATCCCACACCTAAAAAATGCAGAAACTTTCAAGTGGCAAAGAAGAAAACAAAGCTCAGACCGGTACAGAGTGATCCCATGAACACAGGATCCAAAAGGCGAACAGAGTGAAATTTCAACCTAATACATTGTTCCACATTCAAACTCGTCTCGTCTCGCACGACGCAATGCTCACGATTTTTTCTCCCAGGTCGACATAGCTGAAACGGGGCCGCAATCGGAAAGCTCAATTTGCTCTCTTCTTCAATTTGAGCGGACACCACGAAATGTTGAATTTTGGGAACCGTCGATGGCCCTACCCAGACACCTCGTCTTAGAGAGGCACGACTCACCTGTCCCTTGCGATTCACCCCGATGATGCCCGAGGAGGCCTCGTGGGGTGCTGTGACGAAGATGGTGTCGGCCGAGATGCGGTTCATGTAGATGCAGGTGCCGCTCTCCAGGTCGTACAGGTGTACGTAGCCATACTTGGTGATCAGGTAGACCACATCGTGCCTCGGGCTCATCTGCATGGCCACGGGGAAGTCGTTCTGGGCTTCGGGGGGGAAGAACACGTCCACAGCCTTCTTCGGGTAGGCCTGGTTGCCCGCCGCTGGCTGGCCAACCTCAATGATGTGCAGCTGCAAGGAGAACCACGCGCCTCAGTCACTTCTCGCACACAAGTAGCCTCCCTCGATCGAGGTTACGGAAGAGGAATGCTCGTAACGCTGGGTCAGCTTTAACACAAATAAGAAATAAAGCCATACTAAAAAAAAAAAAATGGATGCGACAAAAAAAATATAAAGAAGCTCGGCCTTGTCTGCCGAGATAACTCTGTTTATGCAATGTCCTAACACTCACCAGTAAGAGCTAAACCTAGTCTTACACAATATTACCGATTTAATGCTACACTACTGCCAGGTTAATACAAGCGTGTCGAGACTATGGTTTGTAACAGGCTGAGAATGCGGCGGCGGCGGCGGCGGCGGCGGCGGGGGGGGGGGGGGGGGGGGGGGGGGCACATGCAACGAAGTGTTATCAAAGGCAGAAAGCTTGTGCTGGAGGTGGAGCATTTACTGCAATTCTTAACCTGTCACCAACTACAATGTTTTCAAAAACAAGAAAATTTTCTTTTGGCAACCATCAGCTCAATGCCAGGGCATTATTTTCGTGTACAGAATGAGGAAGTTAATCGTTGTAATCTACGGCAGAACAGTGGAAGAGGCTCTGAAAACACTCTGGGTTAAAGCCTAGCACAACTCGCCACTTTGCACTTTTGATTCGGAATGTTGAGAATGGCTCCGGCACGCTTTGGGAAAATAGCAGCCCAGAAATATTCTATAAAAAAGTGAAAAGCATATTAATGCTGTAGTGCGAGCGACATAGTCCATGCGCTCAACTACTGGTTGTCTCCACTGCACAGCTCGAAGATCGGAGCTTTTGGTGTAATGGAATATGCACATGTGTGGTATTAACTAGAAAAGTACAATTTGGTGTTCAATGCTGACCTGGCCAAATAAAATGTTACAGAACAGAGACATTGCATTAAGGTTAAATATGCCATTTAATGTTAGACCCCTCTCCTCCACTTCAAGCACAGCTCCAACCATCCCCCACAGATTCACGTTGGGGCACTCATTTCACTGAGGTAAATGAACCGAAAACTCCAGAAGCCAGGGAAAAACGAGAGAAGGGCAAAGCGGGGTCACCTTTCCCCCATGAGGGGTCCGGACTGCAAAGCAGAAAAGTGTCGAGGCCTCCGTGTTGCCCTCCTGCTTGAACTGCGCAAAGGCCGCTGCATGGCCCTCAATGGGCTGGCTCACTTTGCGCTCCATCGAATACAGCTGCATCGCTCCAACCACTCGGTTTTGCTGCAAGGTGTAAAGAGAGGTTTCGCAGTGAGAACTTGCAAACAGACAATACCCTAAACATAGCGCTGCTACATGCACTGCAAAAGAAGTGTGCAACTTGCTGCATAAAACAAAACTAAAAAACCTGGCAAGCAGCTCGGATGAAAAGAGCACGTTTGGTGGTGTTGGCCACAATCAAGAGAAAGGAGGGCCTTGCAAAAGCAAGAATAAACTAGAACCATTCAAAAAGGCTTAGGAACCAAAAGAGTGACAGTGGAAGTCTAACACAAGGGCACATTTTGACTATGACAGCACTAGTCGGCAAGAAACCAGTTGCGGAAACAGTTACCCGAATTGTTTCAGGAAATCATCCCTCTTGCTTTTTAAACGTTAAATTTTAAGTAAAAACTGATAGCAAGCCATGACATACTCTGGATTTGCTCTGGATTCTGAAAAACAAATGTAAGCCACAAACCAACTTCAGAGTTCCTTATATTGAGCATCTTCGGCAGTCTTTAAGATCTAGACGGTCTATCAAACATAGCTGCTAAGTTTGGCTGCCAGGCAATGCTAACACTATTTATCCACTGCAGTAGTAATGCTAATGTTTTCTCTGAATTGACAAAACTTTAAACTACATTTCGCCACTCAAAGGTTGGCTGGACATGTTCCCAGTTTTGGCATAGCTTGGCATACAATAAAGACCGTATATGGCCCCTGTGAGCAAACAATGTAAGAGTAGGAAGGTTGATAATGAAATGCTCATATACTACTCCTGTGTGGAGATCAGACATGTTCCTTGCTTGAAGGACACCATAGTTTCACTTGGATCATAGCTTTTGCCACCTGCCAAGTTATTTTGAAACTGAGCGCAGTGGATCGCAAGTCTCCACCTTCCTGCCCAACTTTCTGGGCACAAACAGCTCACTTATTTCATTCAGTCCACACAGTGTGCCCTCTTCATGCAAAGTGGCCCACCTAATTACTACACTGATGAGCTCCTATAAATTCATTATGAAGGGACACAGATCACAGCTTAAGAAGCACAGATTCCTCGCTGTTTGTTAGCAGCCCCCAGAAGCTCCACAAGTCGAGGAAGATGATACGACGGGCACATCTGTAGGAAGCCAAGCAGCTGGTCTCCACATGCCACCCACAGGCTTCAGACAAGTCTGTGCTCACAGCTGCAATGTTTTTACAATTGAAAGCTCCCTTTGCATCCTCAGGTGAATTAGAACCAAGTTCTGAAGAGTGCTGGTGTCGGCATCAAAACAAAAAGTCAAATTTGAAGGTTTTACGTGCCAAACCCAACAAAGAATATCTGACACACCCTGTTGGCCACCTGGTGATTTTCTTACGTGCCACCAAACTCTGCTACGCAGCGCTTTCTCCGCAATGAGCCTCAGTCAGATTGCGAGTACCTCGGACAGACTTCGAACCCGCCACCAGGGGGGTTCGAAGGTCGGCATCTGGTCCCTGAGCCACCGAGGCGGCTACGTTGGTGATGGTGTGTTAAATGTGATTGCATGAGTGCAAGCCTAAAATGATGTAAAGGGAAACCTTTGTTAAAATCCTAATCTAAATAGCCAATCTGATGTCCTTTGATCGCAATTGCGTAAGCAAGATTTCTAGTCCTCCGACAAAAGAACTCTAAAGGACCTCCTTTCACAACTACCAGCTAGAATTCTAAAGCCCCAGCTAAAGTGCCAAACAGAACACAGCTACACTAAACTTTTTTGCAGCACTGAAAAAAAAAAATATATTGTTTCTTGAGCGGAGAGCTTACCTGGGCAGAAATCCCTATAAGCAGGAGCCATTGGATCTTGGCGTCCGTCCTATAGTTGATGATCTGGCAACCACTCAGACTGGAGTGGCGGTCGAACATCTTCTGAGGCTGAGAATCCCCTGCAAGACACCAGTAACACATGGAGCACCAGTCCCAGTGACAAGGCAGAGAGGATCCAAGCCTAACAAAGTCGGAAATGAAACCACAGAAATCCTACCCCTTTATATGCCCTCTTACAATTTGCATCAATAATGAATAATTAAGATCACTGGCTTCTCACTGAACCTCTATACAGTACGACAACTCAGAACTGCGTCGACAAATCAGAAAAAAGTAGAACTTGGCGGGTCTGACTGCTACGCAAGATATTGTCGGACATGCTCAAACGGTGCCACACGGGTGGACGTGCTCCCCACCTTCCATGCTCCAGTGGTAGACTGCTCCCTCCGTGACCAAGGCAATTGTGTTCACGTTGATCCACTTCCAGAACACTACGTCCTCGGTCATCGTGTGAGCCTTCACCTTGCTCTTCATCTCAATGTTGAAGATCTGCAGCGTCCTTGAGGCTGCACATCAGAGGAAAGGGCAGGCTAAAGCAACTCTGCTGGGACAAAGACCCAGGAAATTAAGGTGCATAAAACTTTTCCCCCCAATTTTTTTTTTTTTTTTTTTTTTAATTTGATAATATATGACTGCATTCCACACTGGTTATCTTAAAACAACTTATCTTGAGAATACCCACAAAGGGAACAAGTGATACATTGTAAGTACCCTGAAACACACTTGAAGAATGTGCGATACATGGTACAAAACTTATGCCGATGAACAATGCCACAAACCAAATTAATGTCCAACAACGAAGTAAGAAATTAAATAGTGATGGAAGCAGCATGTGACCTTTTGTAGCAGGTTGTGTAATAGGCAAAACATTGGTCAGGAGCAGTTACTGAAACTTTTCGAGCAGATGCCAACATCTGTTAGCACATCACTCGAAAATGAAAAGTGATTGCATCAGACTAATATTACGAACTGCCAAAACAACCACCCCCAAATATTATGAAAACCTACACTTGTACAAGTGACGGTGCTCCTTAGTGGCGTTAGAACGAGAGTGAAGTCAAAGTTCAGTTATTTCGACCGACAGCTTCACGGGAACCAGCCCTTCCTACCATTTGTTCAAATATAAACCCACAACTTTCTTTTTTCAATCCGTTTTTCTTTTTTTTTTTTTAAGTTTGAGACGAGTTATTACAAGGACAAAAAAAAAAGTAGAGCTGAAATAGTACTGAGCATAATGACTCTGCCTATCCTGCTAACCCAGGCGCTCACCCATGTCATTCGCTGCACCTAGCACTCCGGTGCAAAGCGGTAAAGCTCGACACGCGCGCTGGTGAGAGGCAGCACCAAGGCATGCATCAGACATGGTAATTAATTGATCTCGTCGGGACTACAAGACCCTGGTTCTGTCCCATCACTGTAGCCGGCATCCTACGATTGGCAATGTTTTCTCGCAACTTTTGGCTCCTCACATTGTTGACATCGTCTGCAAATTTAGACGATGCCGGCGATCTATCCGCCAGCACATCAACCAAGCAGTGCGGTTGACAAGCAATCTCAATACTTTGTTTCACCTGAATTTAAAGCGCAACCACCCCACGAGCTAATGGGACCAACCAGCGTCAAAGCGGGACATCATGGCATTCGTCCATCTTTCAAAGTGCATCGCATCGCCTTTCGACTAAACGAATCAAATGCAGCAAATGTCCCCTGACTTGCACTTTTAGTATGTGTGGTTGTAGGTGTTAAAGCCTTTGACTGCACTCTGACCAGAGATTAAACAAACTATACGGTGAGTAGAGACGCTGCTTAATACATATCTGTACCATTTTCCTTTCCTCCTACTTCCCTATATATTAAAAACAACCAATAATTTAATTATAGTTTTGCTTCGCTTATTTTGATGCAGGTGTGGCACAATTCTTACCAAAACGTCACTTTGGCTCAAGATGTGAAGACTTTAGTTAATGGCGCAATTTGGCACGAATGGCCACAGCACTTCCATCACTAAACAATTTACAATGTTCACAAAGGAACTATTTTATAAAATTAGAGAATGTTTAGACATGTTGGATCTGTCATTTCACTCAAGCTTTGATAACTCATCTGTTAACTGTTTCAAGAAAGATACAATTCAAACGCTCAATTTAACCCTTAGGTACAATATACTGCAACTGGTTCATCTTCTCACTTGCAAGTGCAAGTGATCAGGCAGTGATAACAGAAAATGCACTTAGCCTGTAGAAGAGATGGCTATGTATGGGCAGAACTAGTGCCACTAAATAAGCTACGCTTCAGAGTAACGACACTTGGCCATATTGTGTCTTAAAATCAAGGTTGCAGTTATCTGAAGCTTTATCTGAAATCACAGGAAATGCTTTTCCGCCCTCCACAAATGTTTAAACCGTTCGCGACAGAGCAAAGCAATATTACATGACCTTCCTAACACCGAATCTAATGCTGAGGAAGTCGCACTTTTGAATCATGACGATCGGCTGTTGCGTCTGTTCTGCATACGAGCCAAAATGGCAATGGGGAACGGAGTGCCGATACTCTAAGCGCAGCTTATTTAGTGGCTCTAGGCAGAACCATTTTAACTGCACAAAGCAGGCTACAACTACCACAAATTGCAAATGACAACTGGATAGCACATCTCCCCAAAAAGGGACAATCGCTGAACCACTTACCCTTGAAATTGTCAATATTCTAGAGCAATTGATACATTTTGTTTATTTATTCTTTGGTTAGGCTTTATTTGCACCTAACTTCGAACTTGGAATATTCACAAGCATAGCAAAGCAATGCTTTCCTTACCAAATGCTGCAACTTTTATTCACTGCAAACTGTTTCCTTTAGTGAACACAATAAAAATTGCATTGCTAGCTCAATGGCATTTAACTATGCAAGATAATACTAACAAAGAGAAGGTTAAACAATGAAAAAGTATCCCAAGCTTACCTTTATATTCAAATAAGTCTGAACTAGCACCATAGATTGTTTGGACAGACAACACAGCTATAAAAATCGCGGCGCCATAAGCGTTCACAAATTCGCCATGTGTCCCTGCCCATACTTTGTACATAGCATGCTTCCTTTTACTCGCAAAATGGGACAAACTGTCACTTAAGTTCACATCTTAAACAAACCAAGATGTTACCACTCCTACCATTGCAGACCAGACATCTCTCCTCATAGCAAAAACTATTTTAACTATTTAAAAGAATAATCCCAATGACAGCACACTGCACAACAATACTAGCAAGAATATGATGTCGGCAGTTTTTGCATTTTACTCAGACATAGTAGGGAGCACCACATTTCATGCTTACATAGGTTCTTTAAATGAACACTTTACAAAACACTAGCAGTTGTGACGATAACCATTAAATTCTAAGAGAAAAACAGGAAAAACTGATGATAGCTTGCTTGCACTAACAATGTCATACGTTGTACTGGTTTTTTTTTTTATTTTTTTTATTTATCGATACTACCAGCCCCTGCAGGACTATTACAGGAGTGGTAATATACTATAAGAAAAACATAAATGCACACACATTTTTAAAAAACGTGCAAAAGATAAGGAATCGTAAATTCATGGCTTACTGTCAAACGCTATGCTTTATAGTTTTCATGAAATCACGAACATCTGTTAGAATGACGGTTTCATTAATTACAGTGATGTGATTGGCCTAAGCCATTTTAGCGCACATTTCAGAGCAACCACAAAAGCGTTTTGGAGCAGCAAATGTGGCCTCTGGAGCAGCCAGAACAGTGTCTTGGAGCAGCAGAAGCGGCTTTCGAAGCAGCCAAGACAGCAATTCGGAGCAGCAAAAGTGGATTTTGGAGCATATATTCTTAGGAAAATAAAAATATTTGTTTTAAGTGCCGTACAAACGAAGGGCACTTCGTGTTGTGTAGTGTTCCGATGTGACGTGTTGTGACAGAACTCGTTGCTTCTGTTTTTACTGCTCAGACATCCCACAAGTGTACAGTGCTGTAGGCATTGCCAAGCAATTTAGAAAAACCGCTAGCCACCATTTTACTGGTTCCCGACAAGCCAGATTTTCGTCAAAAGAAAGCAAACGTAAAACAATGAATTCCAAGTGTCCCAGCTGTGCCTCAGTCACGCAATCATGTTCGCATGCACGTGAGGCCAACATCGGCAGACTTGCTGTTGGGCATGCTTCGCCACGCGAGCGCAGGCAATGGCTGTCCGATCGAAACCGAAACCACGCCCCTCAACTCCGTCGCTAACTTATCCCCAAAATTGTACACAAAATGTAACTTTCAACCATGCGACAAAAACAGTCCAGAACAGTCCAACAAAAACAGGCCGGCAAACAAGGTACAAGCTAAACACACAAAAAATAAAGAACCTGAGTGCATCGATGCAAGACATTGCAAGCCAGCCTCAAAACGTTCTTGGAGTGCTTTGTGCAACGACTAAACTCGAGACAAACAAGCGTGCTGTGCGGGTTCAGTGTGCAGACATTGCCTTCTTTGCTTTAGCTTACTTCTCTTCACCAACTTTCTTTCGCAATAGATTTTTCATGTACCAGGGTCCCTCTCAAAAGAAAGCCCACCGAGAGGAATCCAGATAATACTTTGACAGAGCAGTCTTTGAATTAAAGATGGATTTTTGTAGTAAAGTATGATTGAAACAAAAACAGGAATGTTGATGAACATGCAGTGGTACTTAGTTTCATTTTAGAAAGTACCATATCTGCAGTGATGTGGGGACGGCAACATTTGACGTCGCGTGACCACGGTGACTGAAAGGCAGTGACCAAATATAGTTTTCCCACTGCCGTTGCTTCAACTCACAAAGTAACTCCTGCCGCGCAAAAATGTGGTTTCGTTTCACAGCATGACGGCATAGCTGGTACCCAGCACGCTAGCGTCGGAATGTCTGCACACAACCGCGTCTATCGCTGAAAATTAAAAAAGACGAGACCCACAAGAGCACGAAACGCGAGACGCCGGGAAAACCATGCAAGACCGGGTGGACAATTGATGCACGGTACTTTGTGTCAGGTGGCCGCTTGCGCCACATAACACACGCCTGCTCAATTACAGTACTCAGTTTAGTTTCGGTTTTGAAAGGCGACCTAAAATGTCCCTTTGGCGCAGGCTTGGCACAGATTAACCATATTTTGGCAAAATGTAGCAGGATGTAGCACGGTTAGCCCCTTGGTGCAGTTTGGCGCAGCAATTGCATCACTGTAATTAGGAACTTTGTTCCATTCCCCAATTTCGCTTGGAATGAAACATTTAAAAACAATTATTCTTAACAGGTAGTTCTCTCGTGTACATGCTACGACAGTGTCTCCGTACGTTCACCAAAGCGCATGCCCATGCCATTATTCTTGTCTATTTTAACTAAACCATGAAGGATTAGGAAAATTTATTTTTGGTGATCACACTTCCTTCTTAAATCAAGAGCAGGGAGTTTGGCTAGTCTACAAAGTTAGTGGGTGAATAGGAAAAATGGTATTCGTGTAAAAAAAACCTGGATGCAGGACTTTTGGAGTTTCGACAAATTAATTCTTTATATTTGAGAACAGGTCTCGCCAAAGCTTTGCAAGCCAGGTTTTTTTCTTAGATATTTGTTCTTAGATACCAGAGCTTTCGTGGAAACATTTTAGATGCGAGTACTCCATCGTGAATTGCTTGTGAACTTTAATCCTAAAAACTTGTCAACACTGACTAGTTTGGTATCACCTATGGAACAATCATAACTTAATTGAATTCCTCATTATTGAAATAAAGACCAATTTCTGAGCATTTAGCACCATTTGCCATTCGTTGCACCAAAGCTCAATTTTGAGCAGATTATGGTTTTGATTAATTTGATCTTGAGCAGTTTCAATTTTGTTGTACAATACACAATCAGCAAACAACTTAATTGTGACTGATATACCACGGCAGATGTCTATGAACATTAAAACAAAAGTGGGCCTAACACTGTCCCCCAGGTACTCCTGAAGCACCAGGAAAGAGCTGAGGCAGCCTCCAGAGTCCACAAATTGTACTCTAGTTGAAATGTCTGGTTCCTAAAGAAGGCTTCAATTTTTAGTAATCATTTAAGATGACACTTTATTGAAAGCTTTTGCTAAGTCTAAGAATATTATGCCCGTTGGACCACGATTATTTATGGTTTGGGAAAGATCATCCACTGTTTCAACGAGTTGGGTTGTCGTAGAAAGATTTATGAAATCCGCATTGATACCGATACAAAATATTGCGATTGTTAATGAATGTTAAAAGATGTTGCGAAACAATGTGTTAAAGAACTTTTGAGCACATACTAATGATATATATGCCAGTATACACAAGAAGCCAATCCTCCTTTGTGTATGAGAACAATTTTGTCAATCTTCCAGCGTTTTGGTACAGAGCCAGCATTTATTGAGGGCTTAAAAATTTTAACAAGATGCTTAGCGGCCCATTTAGCACACACTTTTTAAATGCATTTGAAATGCTGTCGGGACCAGGGCCTTTTTTAATAGCAATATTAAGCAAAAAAAGGAAAACTCCCTGCTCTTGAATTATTAAATCATTAATTGGAGGATAATCAGAAAAATCTCCCTACCGGAAAAGTTGTGTTATCATAAGTAAACACAGATAAAAAGAAAGAATTAAATTCCTTTCCCCCAAAGTGGGTGGCAGTGGCTTTACCGCCCACCAACCTGGCTGACTGGCAGGCTGTTGTGTTTGGCAGACTCCTTTGTGGCACAACACAGACAAACAGCATAATCACTGAACAAAATCACTGCTATGAGGCAAAGGAAGTGTCAAGTACACCAAAAGTTGCAGAAATTTCACCAGTCTTACCGCCAACACCCTGGAAAACACAAGATGTGCAGATCCCGAAAATTTCTGGGGACAACCCCCACAGGCTGCATATTTATGGGACAGCACGAATTAAAGCTCTGCCTTTGCCTATATCTCGCAGGTGCACAACTTGCCAATCTGGACTGAACTGGTTCATGGATTCATCTAGCCCCCGCCATGACCTGCGCACCACTTTGGAAGGCTCGAGAGCCAAGCCGAGGAAAGTGCCTTTGCCGCAGGTGCCTTCAATGCCTCCATGAAACATGGTGGAGGCCACAACCTCAATAGGTGCCTTTAACACACACATGCTCGCAAAACTAAGCACTTTAATAAAGTCTACAGCCTGGTCCCCAGCGTGCGCTATAGCGAAGGAAGGCGAAGGGGCCACTGACCCTTGAGGGCGATGACCCTCGAGGCCGGGTTCATGATGGCAGAGTCGGCAGAAATGGGCCTTCGGATGGGGCTGGTGGGGTTAGCCATGTCCACAATGACCACCTGCGCCGCATCCCCCACCTTCTCGCGCACGCAGATGAACTTGTCGGACTCCATCGTGAGCGTGTTGAAGCCCACGTTGGCCGCATTGATGCCTATGTTGGTGAGCTGCGAAGGAAGAGCACTTCGGTAAGCGAGGGAGAAGGGAGACCTGGTGAGGGTGTCACCCTGTCCTAACACTATCTACAACGTGCTTGTATCCCTGTATAGATGGCAAAACGTGCCATGTTCCTTCGTACCGAAAATAGGGGGGGGGGGATTAGGTTTCTTATGCTGTGGCTGCATATAAAGGGTCATCTCATCAGTAGTAGACACCTCCGTCCCCCCCCCCCCTAAAAATTGTTCATTAATAATGAGACGAGAAGGCCCATATTTACGCAGTTTGTCCCCGAAAATTGCCAATATATTGGAGTACCCATCTTAGCGGTTCCATATTAACGAGACGCGACTGCAGTAGCTCTGCTGTAAATTAGACAAAACCATAAACAAAGTTCTATATGGAAGCCCTTGGATTACCATACCTTTAAGAAACAAGTCTAAGATGTCAGCGGTGAATGCTCACATCATTTTGTGCCCATCCATAGTGAACTTGCTATTCGGTGTTTCACCAATATGCCTCCCAAAAATTCAATTTCCTAGAAATTCAACGCTGCATGCCAGAAAGGCAATGGTAGAACCGATTAAGCAAACATTTTAGAAGAGAATACATTTTTTGGGGGCTTAGGGAGATTCCGAAAAGAGCTGTTATGTCATGAACAGAGCAGAGTCTTGTTCTACTAAATTTAGCAGGCAATGCATCCGCTAGAGCCTCGTTTAATCACAAAACCCAACCGAGACAGGTTCTGTGTTCACAGGGGTTTGCCAGAAGCCAGGGCCGTACCCAGAAAAAAATTTCGGGGGGAGTTTTCGGGGACTACGGCGGCCATTTTGAAAATGTCTATTGTCTTATTTTCGCCTATGAATCATGTGCATCGGTAGCATATAATGGAGAGTTACAGCAAACCGGAGAACCGGTCCCGGTTTGGTACCCGATAGCCGACCGGCGCCACTGCGCGTGCACAGAGGTGGAGATTAAAATCGGCTGGCTGCAAGTGCACCGACCAGGGCCGTACCCATAAAAAAATTTCGGGAAGGGGGGGGGGGGGGGGGGGGGGGGGGGTCAGAACCACCTAACCCCCCCCCCCCCCCCCCCCTGGTTACGGCCCTGCCAGAAGCCTATCAGCATTCAGGTTTTGTTTTGCTTTCCTAGATACAGAGAAGCTTATTCACCCTTCCGTCTCGGGAGTTAAAAGAAACACCTTGCCAAGTGCGTTCTCTGCCGAAACCCGACCCATTGTGAAGGGGCAGGATGGAGCGGTCCCAGACTCCAGATGCAGAAGGGAGTGTTGGCTTATTTAGGCATTCGAAAGAATAACAGGACGCTTTCTTTGTCCATTTCATGTTTTTGGAATACACTCCCATCCAGTGGCTAAGCAGAGCAGAACATGCCTGCTGGGAAACATTTGACACTACATACCTTTTGCAAAAAATTGGATCAAGACAAAAATAAAATGCTTCAACACAATCCTCAATATTTTACTGGAAGGCCTGACAATCCTGCCCATCATCGAAATAACGTGACCCTTCACTCAAAATTTTTTCTTGGCTTTGTGATAATGCCACTTGATAGCTTTGAGCTTGTTGCATTCTAGGTTTGCACAAATTGGTTCTTTGAGTGAGTGAAACGATCAAGGGAGACAAAAACAAGGGTACTCAGATTTCCACATTTAGTTGCATTGTACTTGCACACCAAAGATGAATGGTGAGAAGCACAATCCCAATGAAAGTATCAAGATTAAGCCACAATCTGCCCGAAATATCAATTACTGGCTACAATTGAGATACATGCCACAGGGTAAACATTTCCTCGTCTATGAAAGAGATTTAGAATGCAAAAAGCCTGCGGTCAAATATTCTGCTTGCAACAAAAGTGCTTAGCAAGCAATGTCGCAACATAAAGTTCTTGGTATATTTTCGTATCTCTGCTGCCTTTCTCGCAACATACCTGATGCAATTGTTCAGACCAGTTAGATAAGATCGTCCTTGCGTCACCCCCGAGATAGCTCTCTATCAGACAGGAAATTTTTAGAAGGTTATCATGCCAACTGTTTTTACCAACGCCTTGGAGCAAGCACATTCGCGCTAGGCAAGACACTTGCAATTTGAAGTTGCACTAAAATTGTTTAACGCGACTCAAGAAGTCTTGGTTCGTGCAGTTCATTTCACTCGGCCCCTGAGGAGCTAAATCGCTTGCGCGCTCCCTCAAGTCCCCGCAATCGCTAAGAACACACGCCTTGACCGTGACGCTCCCGGCTCCATTTTCCTGAAGAGGCCAGACAGGCTAGCTTTAGCAACCTTATCAGCCTTAGCCCAGATCGCCGAAGAGCAGTAGAACACGGCCCCCTACACGAAAGCCTAATCACGCCAAACGAAGCCGGCTCTCCACGCACGGCAGCAGATCCCTTTAAAAGCGGCCTGACAAACGGAGGGGGCACTGGATCCCAGGGGAGCACAATAGACCGTTTGACAATGGCGAGTCAAGTCAAAACTGGCCGCATGATCTAGGCGTTATTCTTTTGTAGCTTTGTTATTGGTACCTTCGCTTTATTTCGCGTTTGCGTCAACGACCGACCCGTCTCCAGCATGCCGTTCACACCTTACCACAACGGAAACAGTAAAAAAAAGGATGCGGAAGAAAAAAAAACGGGTGAGATGAGAGGAGGGGACGGGGGGGTTTGGCCCACAGCCATGCCGAAATGACGCAAAGGAAAACTCCTGACGAGTATACACACGGCGCACGAGGTTGGACCCGTGAGTTGCGAAGTCCAGACCCCGCCACGAAAAAAAAGAAAAAAAAAACTCTGGAAAACAGTGGAAACCTCGCTCCGCGTGACTCGGGCTACGAGTGTTTACTTCGCTGAAAACAGGGAAAGGGGGGGCGTTTTCGCGGCCGAGATCTTGAGGGCAGAGTGGGTCACGCGAAAATCGATACACCATTCGGGGCGCAATGTCTTCGTCCTAGTTTTTCAGATATGTTGTTTTATGTTTCCGCCCTCCCCGTTCGATGCGCCTGCTTTTCTTTCTCGGGGGGTGGAGGAGACAGATCTGAAGGCACAATGAAACGCCCCAGCTTTACCGCACTTCACGCTGCGATCTACCGCAAAAACCTCGACCGAGAAAGTGCGAACGGAGAGCGAGAAAATTTTGCGGACGAAAAAGCTGGTTACTCGACCAACCCACACACTGCTCCGAGAATCTCTTCCGTTGCGCCTGAGGGGGGCAAGTGTGACGGGAGAAACCAGTATCGGACTGGGACGGAGGAAAACGCGAACAGCTAGTTCGACCGGCCTTTAGAGAGATATATATGCCGAAGGCGCAATGAGGGCCCACTACCGCCCGGTATTTCTTCCAAAACAGCAGTCACTGCTGTCATCTCACGGGGTGGCTCGTATGGGGGGCGTATCGGGGAGGCACGTCGGCAAGCTCGTACGGCGACAAAATAATGATAACCACGTCGTTATTCGAACCCTGCCCGAACCCCACATGATGCTGAGACGGACCGGAGGTTCCGAAAAAAACGAGGAAGCGTAATTTCTACCCGAGAACGACTCCACGCGACTACACAGATATTAGGCCTAACACCGGTTGATGACTCTTCCAGAGTAGGCTTATACGATGGGAAAACCTCGGCGGCTTGGGCTCACCTGTAAATGCTCTTGGAACCGTATCGGTAACATTTGTGTCATCGTGGCTTAGGAATCCAGCCCTCGGTGTCAGAGTTCTAAGCACACGCTCCTCGCGAAAACGTTTGAATGAGAACACCTCCAGTCACAGTCCCGTACGCACCAACTTCCACCCAAAATGGCGTACGCCGGCCATCCATCAGACGAGGAAAAATAGTTCGCACCACAATTATTCGCTAGTGCAATTTTATCGACTAAAGGTATAAAATGTTACTTTTAATATTACGTTAAACTTTATCGGTAGTTTTTCAGTTTTTTAAAGCATTTAAATATATCTGCTTTAGTTTTTTTCAACAACAAATGTGTCGGCGTATGAATACAAGATTGTGCACTGCCACAACTGCATTTTGCCACATACCCTGTCGGTGCTGAATGGAACCTGTTGTAAATTCCAATCACATTTGTTGGTGTAGTATCCTCATTTAAATGTCTCAAAATTACTATTTGATACATGCGAGTAATCTATGGCACGTATTATAACGCGGGGGTATCTCGTAAGTCCTGGCGCGCCACGGTGGTGGTGGAACAAGTTTACTGAACAACATTCCTTCACCCGCGTGAGCAAACTGCTCGCTAATGCGCGATGCGGTGGTGCACCCTGCGGAGCGCAGGAGACGAGCACATTGCACGTAAATATTCTTTCCAATTTCACTTTTTTTTTTTTTTTTCATGCGATACGCAACACGGTGCATTTGTTTTATTTTATTTTTCAATTCGGCTCATCAACTTGCGATAAAAAAATAAATAGTACACGGTATGTATACAAAACAAGGGGCAACCACGACAACTCTTGCAACCTTCAGTTGGAAACGTCTTCGAGGTGCTGCATGTTGAGTTGAGATTCAGCGATGTCGTGCAAGGCTTGTTGTATCTGTTCCAACAGGGCTTCACCCTGCTGCACGACGTCTTCGAGTCGTCTGGCAGCGTCCTGGTTTTCCAGTTCCAATCGTCGCAAGTTTGCTGCCTGATGAGAGTCAATAAAACATGCAAATAAAAACCCAGTTCGACCTCGATTTATTTTTGCATCGACAAACGCCTTAAAACACGTTTTTACCTTGTAGCAGTATTTCAATAACTAAAATGAGTTTGCGACGTTTAGGGTGGCACCCGAATCACACACATACTGATCGATGAGGCACTACCGTGCCGTCATTTTCGCAAGTGCTTTTAGTGGGCGGTTTTCAAAGGCCCGCTACCGTTACGGGCGCGCGCTTCAGAGCATGCATCGAAGCGGCAGCGTCAGCTCCCGCTACAAATAGCGTGGCCTGAAAACACGACCTACTAAAACATTCTATTATTCTCACGCATATAACTTACCTGTAGCTCTGGTGATGCTTCTTCACTTGGGAGTGAATCAATTAAAACATCTATATCTTTTGCCGTCCTCGCCACCAATGAAGCGAACAGCTGTGGGTAGTCTGTAAAGAGAAAGAGTTCGTTTATAATTTCCATAAATAATAATTTTGTTTCTAAGGTACAGCCCGTGCTTAAACTGTACGAGCACGTTGCTTGGAAGAAATTCGTCTTATCACAAGCGCTCGCGCACCGCGTGCACTTTTTCGACCAAAAACTTCTGAAC